CGGTTCCTTTTTGACTGTAAATACATTCATGTTTGTATATCGTGACAATATAAGGACTTCCCGCAGACGACAACAAGAACGTCAAAAAAACAATAGGTTTAATTAGCAAAACAACAACTTCGCACGTGCATCACACTTTTTTGTACATTTCTTTCCCGTTTTTGCACGACTACGACGTGAAAATGTCTAATTTCGCGTTTTATGGAGGACGTAAATAAGCAACGACGAAATTTTATTTCTTTTTCTGATCTTGAATATGGCCCCTTGAAATTCAGCTTCAGGAGGGTTCGCCTACAATTGACAAAGTAAGTGGGTAAGAATAATCGCTATAAAGACTGAAAGAACGCAAATTCACTTTTTAAGCGACGTTCTTGTCGCCGTCGCGTTGTTGGATCTTAAAGTCTGTAAAGTCCCTATTGAAAGAAAAAGTCTAGAAAGCAAAACCGTCTTTAAACTAACGCGACCTGACATAGGTGACATTATTTTTCCCCGTGGGACATAAGTAAACCAGACATCTTAGTTTTCTTCGAACAAACAACTACTTACATCAACCTACAGTACTATCAATTCACGGTCGGAAATATCTGACACTAAGACAATGTTTTTAGACATGGTTGTATACACACAGGGGCACCCAACGATGGTTTCCTCCTAAACACATTGAAAACACTTTTTAGGCTTTCCAGAGTACTTTTAGATATCCAGAAATGCATTCTAAGCGGCGCTATAAAATTTGTATCTGTTCGGTCGTCCTAGGGGAACTTGAGTCTTTTCGAAATTACAAGGACTTGAGTATTATTTTTTAAACAAGGGCGGTCTTAGTAGCGTTGAGTCTCGCTTGCTTGGGGATAGGATAAGAAATGAGGAGGTGATTTCCTCAGAACCACGCCGGCGAGCGAAAAAGTAAAATTATGCTCTCGATCTACTGTGACTCAAAAGAAAAATAAGAGACTGCTCACAGTCTAGGAGGCGATTAATTCTACACGAAACGGATTTCCTCGCTAACAGTTTTTCAATTCCTACTTTATCGACGGTCGAGTATTCTTCACGATATTTCCTTTTTATATCGTTTTCGACGATAACGTGTTTCTGAATTGATTAGAGAACGTGTGTAAATAAATGAAACTCAAGGAAACCTGAAGAGATAGCGCGTCATTTCAATCATCGCCGAAAATAATATAAGCCGCATGCTCATCACGGGTAGGTAGAAAACGAAGACCTAAGACCTAAGACCCAAAACGAGGACCCCCCTCAAAATCACTTATAAATATCTAAAAACGGGTATCTCGACCTTAGATGGGTAAGAAACAACAATATCTACACAATCCTCCTGGTGTGTAGAAAACGAAGACCCTGGTCGAAATTTTGTGTAATTGGAAATCGTCAGGAGCCGTGTTGTTTCTTAAACTCCTTTAGTTTAGTGTCTAGAAGTCGTTAAAAGCAGTTTCCAGCCGTTTCCAAGTGGTTTTGAAGAGGGTCTTTGTTTTCTACACACCGGGAGGATTGCGTAGAAAACGAAGACCCTGGTCAAAATTTTGTATAATTCAAGATATTGTTGTTTCTTACACATCTAAGGTCGAGATACCCGTTTCTAGATATTTATAAGTGATTTTGAGGGGGTCTTCGTTTTTGGGTCTTAGGTCTTAGGTCTTCGTTTTCTACCCACCCTGCTCATCACAAGACTCTTTTGCATACAATGAAAGTTTACAATACCCGACCAGTTAGTTTCACCATCGAAGTTTTGCTCAAAAGATTGTTCTTGTTTTCGACCACCGAAGTAACGTAATCAGTTGTTCCAAAGTAATAGACGCTTTCAAGCGATAGAATTCGTGGACCGACTCGTTTCGGAAAAGCTCGACGTCTCTCGCAGCTTTCTATCCTATGGACATGAGGTGCCTGGATTCAGGGAAAATTACATCACTGCCAAACAGCCAAAACGTGATCAACTTTGGGCGTCAATTCGTGCAGTCATCATCGAAAATATACCGCATGCTCGATCATCACGAGACTCATTTGCATATGCAATGAAAATCGCCACGATTCTTATCCCCAGTTTCCACGGTCCCCCTTAGGAACAACCGTTGGAAAGAAAAATTGCTATCAGAAAGGAAAAGACACGGTTTCACGCCGATATAGATGTGCAGCCAGCTGTCAACCCTTGCAGTTTTTCACCAAAAACAATTTACGTATCTTAAAAAGGCTAGACTGGGCGTTTTTCTCTGTGTCCAATTAACCTTTCTTTATGTGACAGGGTCACTCTGACCTAAGATTTCACTGTAGGTACCTGCTTTCACTACTCAGTACTTTGGGAATGCACTACTTTTTATTATTTTGCATCTAATATTTTTGAGCTTAGGAATTTTCCGCTTTGATTTAGCAATACGTGTGCCCACAAAACCACACATATTGCCAAAGTGCCCTATCAGATATTAGCTTTTTGTGGTTTCTTTTCGGTAGATTATTTTAATCAGTTGATTGACCTTATCTTTATGAATTACTGGGATTAACCTAAGGAAATCCTGGCGTTCTGTTTTACTGTGGTTAAGTTGGTTTGGCAACACACCTCTTACTGTTTTTGTTACATGCAAATTTGTTTGTTCCTTGATTGATACTCTCTTATAAATAGAGGCACGTTTTGGCCTTAATTCAGTGAGTTTTGGTTATCATACTGAAGGAACAGCAGTTGTCAAGTTAACAAGCGAACTTGCTTCGTGTAAGTTTATCAGGTGATTATTGCTGTATTGCTGACGGGTTTGAGCTTCGAGTAATTTGCTTTGACCGCCCCGTCTAATGTTACATTGATTACTTTTTTTATTGTGCCCTGTAATCAACAGGGGAAACTAAGTTCGCATTTACAATAAAAGCTTTATAACTGGTGATTTTATCGGTACTATATTGGCAAACAAAGGTGAAATAAACGATCATTTTGCATGAAACAAACGAGAGTTAATGAAGTTTAAGTGCAATCAAATGATGCATTCTTACAAGTTTTGCACGTTTTATGGGGATCAAAGTTTTAACACTAGGTGAAATACACAACAAATATTAATAATCAAGCATGAAAAGGAACTTGACTGTGTTTTTGATCAGACAACCTTTGTGAATAATACTCATCCTTAATGACACGACGATAAAGTGGAGAATTGAAAAAAAATTGTACCCAGGTGGCCCAAATGATAACCAGTACTAAATCAGGTCTGAAATCAATGAAACCAGCAAACCATGCAACTTACCTACTTTTGTTGGTTCTACCTTCTTAGTTAAATTCTTAAGCTCCTGTTCAATCGCGTCCAATTTTCTTTTCATTTCGATGATCATGTTTTCGAGCTTCTTGTTGTGACCCGCGTAGAAGCTGTTGTAGTTGCTGATGTTGCAAGAAGGCATTGTCGAATCCGAGCAATTCTGTTTTTGCATTGTGGCAGTTTCCATCGTTTGTAGCACCAACAGAAAACAGATAAAGCAAACAAAAATCATTCTGAGCCGGAGTTAAGCAACCTTCGACTTTCGATTTCAGTCTTCTATACCTCGCGCGGTGAAGATAAAGGAGAAATGATAGCGAAAAGACGAGGTATTTGGTATACAAGTTTTAAATCTTCCTCTAATGACCCTTCTTAGAAACTGACAACTTGATACCAAAATTACTAAAAATAGCCTCAGATGTGCCATTTTGGTGATTTGTGTCTAGGCTTGTTTTGTTCTTAATAATATTATAAACTCTTCCCTTCAACCAAAAAAGGCAAGGTCGTTGACAAAATTGACATGTTGACCTTGCCAAAGACCATTTTTAGCTCATGGATGACGTAGTCATGCCATGGGCTTTTGGAGGCACTCGAATGGCACTCGATCACTCACTCACTCACTCACTCACTCACTCACTCGGTTCTCATTAATTTATTCATTAAAGTCAGATTAAACACGTTACTCCTACCTCCCTTACTTAGTATTACCTTTTTTCCAAGTGTCTTTTAGGTATATGTTTGGAATATTCTAGAGGGTACTAGTAAGGCGAATTTTTTTCCCGACACATCAATTATAGAGATTGGTTTTGTATAAATAACAATATTTTAAAGAACACTGATAATATCATCCGCAAGAAATGGACTTAGAATTGTTAAAAGGCTATTGAAATAATNAGAGGGTACTAGTAAGGCGAATTTTTTTCCCGACACATCAATTATAGAGATTGGTTTTGTATAAATAACAATATTTTAAAGAACACTGATAATATCATCCGCAAGAAATGGACTTAGAATTGTTAAAAGGCTATTGAAATAATTGAGCGTGGATCATTGTTGTATATTTGGACGAATTGTGCACATTTGTTCCCGATATTGTACTTGATATGGAGAAGATGCGATCGACAGGAGCGTGAAAGAGCTATTGCAGCCTGACGACGGGATTTCGTTCAGCGAAAAGCGAATAAGCCAAAGAGACTTATAATCACTGCCAAAAAAACTGTCCTCGAATTGTTAAAGCGACATTGAGGAGTATCTATCGAGGTTTATTCAGTTATTTGGACGAATCCGTTCGACCATTTGTCTTCGTATGCAAACAGGGAATGAATTAATGTTGTGTCAACTAGAAGCACCGGTTTTAGAACCAACAAGCGTATGGCAAGCCGATTGTAGCAATATTCAATTCGTTTAATTTTATATCTAGTTTTGTATTTTGTATTCAACTATGCGTTCAATATTCAACTTGTATTCAACATTCAACGCGTTATTCAATATTTAACTTCCCATTCAACATTCAACTATTCATTTTATATTCAATTCTTCATTCACCCATTCAATTAACTATTCAACAGTTTCAACTATTTATTCAACATTCAACAATTCATTCAACATTCAACTATTCGTTTCAATTCAATTAATCACTCGAGGAGAGGGCCCTGGGAACGAGTTCTTCTTTCCTGAGCCTTCACTGTTTCTGGTCAGTAATTGCATCCGGGTAACCATCTCTTTCCCGCGTTTTACAATCGATCGATTTATCAGACTACAATGGAGGAAAATTTAAGACGCTTGTCAAACTGCTTGAGCCAGGCAAGCCAAGTAGTCCAGGAACTTGCTGCAAATAGCGGTAGAAATGTTGTCGCTGATGCTACTGTTGGCGAGACGTCCACAAGCACAAATAGGGAGCTTACGAATCGACTACTTTCGCACGACGACGCCGTTGGATTGCGTGACATACCTACTGCGCATGCCTGTCTTGGCACTTGCCGGCGTCGAGCAAAAGTCAACGACGTTGGTAAGAGCGATTTTCCGGCGTCTTAAAGAAAGCAGGACGTGAGGTTAGTTTTCAAAGTTTTCTATCGATAATTCACGTGTTTTTGCCAGAAAAATCAAAGTATTATATTAGTAACATGTTCTTTACCAATGTCTTTGACTTTTTTTGTCTGTTTTCATTCAATTCTACCTTCTACAGCCATGGCAACTCATGAAGGCGCTGGCGAAGGCACGAAAAGGTATGAATGAAAAGTTGATTGCTATACACATGGACATCTTTCTTTTTAATCACACTGCACTGAAGTATAAGACATTTTCTGGTGCTCATTAAATTTGAAAGGACCGAAAAGTCGCGTATCTTTTTTTTTTTGAGTTGTCACATCAACAGTAAGAAACAGAGCCGAGTTGGCTATAGCAAGTAAGTTTACATACTTCGCTGAACCAAAAAAAAAATTTCTTACCCCGCCAGCTTTCAAAACAATTTTAAAGTCAATGAAAAGTTTATTTTTTACTCCTTTTCTCTTGTTAAGAGGGATATTATAGCTAGCTTGGTGTTGTAGAAACACGCAAACTTTCCTTGACTTACAGCTATGCTTGCTTTTCTGCTCGCTGTGCGAACAGATTTTGTTGTTTTTCATTTTCCATTGTATTATTTTCTTAAGCTTGTGAGACAATCAACCAGCGAGTGTGATCTCATAGATAAATAGCTAGCGGAGAAACGTTACCTTAACAGTTAGCTTAGTAAGTTAGTGATTTAACTGTTCAGTAAATTATATTTATATATTTTTATAATTTTTTTCACAGAATGCCGAAAATGAAGTGGTCAGTTAAACATGACACCATATTTGGTCGCGAACTCCTTAGTTGGGAACTATGGAAGTACCGTTCAGGCACCAGAGAGCGGGGAAACTGTTTAGACGAAATATGCAAAATTCTGAATAACATCAAAGAGCCCCAATTTTGCGTTTCGCAAAAGGGTTTGAGGGACCGCTTGAAAATCCTGGAAAGGGATTCCAAGGCCAGGAAGAGAGAGGCCGAGAGGGGCTCGGGAATTTCCCCCGAATACCGAGAAATAGATCAAATAATGGAAGACTATATGGAGAGAAGAGAGGAGGAAGAGAAGACCAAGGAATCCCGCACTGATGTGGATCGAAACAAGGCAGATCAAGATAAAGCAGCAGGCGAGGAGATGAGGGAGAGAGCGATGGAGAGGCTAGCTCAGACTAAGAAGAGAAATGGCAAAGATGAACCACGAAAAAAGCGCCAAAAAAGTGGTGACACCCTTGACTATCTAAGGGAGGCAGCGGAGAGGGACTCTCAGTTAAGGCGAGATGAGCTGGACATGAAGAGGAGGCAAGACGAAGCTACAGCTGCTACCCAGCAAGCATTGTTCACTCAGCTGCGGGACCAGCAACAGTTACAGGTGCAGCAACAGCAACAGCAGCAACAGCAGTTTATGCATATGATGCAAATGATGCTTAACAGCCAGCAAGCGCAAACACAAGCAGTCATTGAACTCTTAAAAAAGGGACCGTAGTTATGATCGGAGTAGTTATAGTTCAGTTTTCTTGTAAACACGCAACTTATTTTTTCGTTGTTGTTTTTGGTTTTGTAATATAATACCATGAACAAGCAACCTTAGCCTTCGATGTTGATTTTCATCACTTTATTGTACGTACATGTTCTGGCACGCGTGTTAACACTACTATTGGCTTAACATGTGTTCTTTTTTGAACTTGAGTTCTATTGCATTTCAAATTAAACCTTCAAGCGACTAGAGTGTTTATGTTGTATAACTGGAGTATCGCAAGTGTATCTTGAGCACATTATATCAAATGAAGTATTCCTCTAGAGTTGGCGGATTAACACCAAAATACTCGGACGTAACAGAACCGTATAAAATGCTTCGTGCATTCTGCATTAACGCACATGTTACATACATCTTTCCTACAGCACTCAATCCGATTTTCAGATTCTTTTTAAAATCTAAGAACTTAAAATAATTGACAATATCCCCGAATATCCACTCGACGGAAGAGCGAACTGTGCTCATTGAGGTGTTAAAATCTTGTTGAGCTGGGGTCAGGACTGCGCCTTTATAGGGCCTTTGTAGGTGTGCACGTATCGGATAGGCGGGGTCACCGTACACGCAGAGGGGAAGGCCAGTTACGGGGCAGTTGGAAAACCTTTGCAGTTCCTGCAAGAATCCGGAGGCAGCTAGCATGAAACTGTCATGGCGTCTTCCCTCAACTGGGCCAAATAGATTCCCCACTAATCCATTAGGCAAAGCGACAGCCTGAAACTTAATGGAGTGGACACGTTTATGGCCATTGTAGATGGATCGCTGGTTTTCGTTAGGCCTACAAACTGGACGTACAGTTCCATCTATGAATCCCCAGCAGTTATCTAGGGCAGCTCCTGCCTGTTGGATAGCATCAGCATACTGGCGAAGCTTGGAAGGGGTTAACAAATGATGATTATACCTTGTAAGCAGATGATGCCAGCGCTCATAAATCAAGTCCATTATGTGGTTATTTATGATAGAAATCTCAAGAACCGGTCTGGCAAAATGGTAAACCAAATCTCCGTATCGGCAAGGGTAGGCATAGCGCTTGAGATACATGCATAATGCAGGTACCGAAGGTACTACTAAACCATTTTAAGTGGTTATCTCGTCAGGTAACTGCAGCTGTTCCGCAAGTTTATAAATGTCATCTCTGTAGAAACGAAACTCAACCTTGCATTCGTCGTTTGTTTTCTCGTCCAAATCCAACCTTTCGTAGTTCCAATACGGAAACTCTGGGTTTTTTTACTTATGAGCATCGTATAAAAGTACAAATTCTTGTTCTTTTAAAAAGTTGTTTCGATAAGCGTAAGCAATACAAGCTCTTGTTTCTCTGAAGTTAGGTATTTTGGTTTGAACAACCCGGCTTATGATCATGAAGTGATAAAAAACAAACTTCAGAAACGGCGGGAAAATTTGCAGCAAGCGCACCAACGTCGTCGTCTTTACTTAAAATCGTAAATTCAAATTTCTAGATGACGGCGACGCAGGACTATGACGTGGCCCAACGGCGTCGTCGTGCGAAAGTCGTCAGTTCGTAAGCTCCCTAATACAAGCATCACAACGGTGGGACAAGCCGTGAGTAGAGCCCGTGCAATCATGCACCAGTCGACAACCAGAGGACTCTATTCTCGTTTGAACAGTAGAGAACGACTTCGAGCCTCGTCGTCCAGTAACTCTGCTCCTGTAAAGTCGAAGAGAGCGAAAGTTGAAAGTAATAAGGTATTTGAATTTGTGTTGTTGAGGCTGGATGATGAAGATGACGAAGAGCTGAACTCAGATAGTGTTCACTCTGATAGTTGGATGTTGACAGATGAAAGTACTGTGTTAAGAGGATTTGTGACGCTTAGTTCGGAAGACAATGAAGAAGCCATTAGAAAGGCATTGTCTGATGCTATACAGATGAAATATCCAGCCGTAGCAAGTAATGACCTCGTGTTCCTAAAAGCAAACAGGAGAAGAATAACACAACCAGTGAATTGCCACGAGTACTCGTTCAAACAGGTAAAATCACTGGCCGGTCAAGGGGCTATTTACCTCAGACTGAAACATGGCTTTGGCTTTCTTCTAGACAATCAAGGCTCAGATAATAGTAGCTTAAAAGATAATGACGTCAGTAACCACACAGAGAGAAGCATGCCCATATCCACTTTGCAACCACCACAACGCCCACAAGAAGGCAGCAACCACACTCAGAGTAGCCCGTTATCCATCCCACAGGGTTCACAGGTGAGTAGCAACCACACACAATGTAGACCTGTATCCACCCTGCAACCAACGGAGGGACCACAGGCAGATCTTAGTGATCAGTCATTTCTGATCACTGGACAGAGCAATGAAAACCTGAATGCAATCCCTGTTGTTAGCTTTGCCAATCTGGAAGCAGCTGTTGGAGAGTGCATTAGCATCTGTAAGAAAGACAATGTTTGTAATCCTGTGGAGATACTAAGGTGTGCCCAAAAGCTTATTGTGCAGGGTCGTCCCTTGGATGTAAACTCACCTGACCAGCCACTCGATGGTGAAACTAACTTTGTCAGTATAGACCGATTTAATATTTTGGAATCAGCTATGGAAGAATTCAAAGATTTTCAAAACCCAAGACTCACATTGGAAGTGTCATTCTATGGAGAACAGGCCCATGATGCTGGGGGTCCAAGGAAAGAATTTTTTCGGCTTTGTCTTAAAGAAATACAGCAAAAGCTCTTTGAAAATGGACTGCGCGAACTCATGGCTGAGGAATATGAGTTTGCTGGAACTATTATGGCCTTGAGTATTCTTCAGAATGGACCCACCCCACGGTTTATTCCTGAAGAAATTTTGCAGGAGATTTTTTCAAAGGATCCTGCAAGGCCATGCATTGCAGAGCTTCCGAAAGGATTCATGAAACTTGGTCTATATGAAGTTGCAATGAGTCTACCAGTCTTTCTTTATCTGCTGCGCGCAAATGAATCAAATCAACTCTCCAGACGACAGCTCATCCTACTCCTCCGGCCATCATTCTCCGAGGAAGGCACAAATGTACGCAAGTATGAAAATGATGCCTACGCTGCATTCTCAAAGTATGTGCGAGAAGCTGCAAGTGGAAGAAGGGGTAGAATCACTCTTGGGAGCATTCTACAATTTGCAACTGGGATGGATGAAGAACCGCCCCTTGGCTTTGAACTACAACCTAGTATTCAATTTGTTGCTGCTAATGAAGGGATCAAGTAGTCTTTCACTCCAAAAGCTAACACTTGTAGCAAAACAATGTTTTTACCAAGGGGCTCCAACAGTCGTTCTTTACCAGCTGAGAAGGAACTCTTTGAAGTTTATGATATTGCCTTTACAAATACCTTCTTTGGACTTTCATAAGGAAACTGTACATTTGATACAGCTTTCTCTGTACTTGTTTGTGCCTGGCTTTGCTGGACTAAAGAACTTTTGACTTATAATTTAGTGTTTATAGTGACAATTCTTTCACATTTTCAGACAAAAAAAAAACATTAATTATAACAAGGCATAGATTTATATTTATAAGTTGTTTTGAAATGCAGATAGCCTCTTCTTGTAAAAAAAAATTCACTCTATAAATTTGAGTGTTGCTTCTTGTAAATGAAGAACACAGAATGGAATAGCATAGTGAGGGAAGGTTTTTATTACCAGGTCTGCCAAAATGGGTTTGCAAAGAGCTTTTACCACTGGTAAACTTCATGTCATGTTTTAAATGTAGCAGCACTTCAGCCCATACCAAAAAGAAGAGTGTTGACTTAAAAACATTTTCACCTGATAACACCATCATAATTTCATTCTCCTTTTACCACATTTTTATCTATGTTGTTAGGACAATTTGCTCAACAGAAATGTTATAATATTTTTATTCATCCCTTTTGACCAGAGTATTATCGCATGTTTCATTTATAAAAATAGAAATTCAAGTTTGTTATGTTAATGTTTACAATAGTTTATCTTTATCCCAAAGCAATATTACATTACGAAAGTATCACTGTATGGTTGGAAGAAATATTTTTAAAAATGTTAACTCACGTGTTCATCATAATGTAGTAAAAATGAGCTACACTTTAGTATTTAGCAGAGCACTACATATTGCTATTTTCTTTACTATTGTTGTTTCCAGTTTGAAGGAAAAATTTACTGTCTTAAAATAAATTTACAGTTGACGAGAATGTTGCTTTACTGTTCATGTAGATTTTTTCAGTTTAATGGGATGTTCCTGGCTTTGTGTCAATTGCTTTGTTTTCAAGAAGAGATGTCCTTTTCACTGTTGTTAAAAAGATAACACTACATACAGAAAGCCCTAGTGAAAGAATTACAAAATTGTCAATTGTCAACACAATCACATCCCAGAAATATTTCTTGTGTTCACGGTTTGACTGTATAAACTTCCACCAAAAAAGGTTCTGAGTCTCTAGTTTAGCATACAAAGAATTAAATTAATATGAAAGCATAGCATCTTGAAATAAATTGTCTTTCCAGATCAAAACATTCAACATATAGCTATAAAATACAAATAGCAGTGTTATAATTTATTATTACTGCTTGCAGCCAACAGGACATTAACTAAAGTTTGGGGCCTATAGGGATGGGCTGGCTGGTGAAAGTGGAAACCCCGGATACTCTAAACAAGTATTATTTTTAAGTCCTATAATATTATTAGTAATAACTTAAACAATAGACCTATTCGGCTAACTCAATGTTGTACCCAATTCAAACCCTTTGGGAATAAAACGTTTTGTCTCAGGAATTTCCATATCATTTAAATTTGAATGCCACATTATAATGCAAATACAATACACAAAGAATCTTAACCCCGGAAGATTTGAATTGGGTACAACATTGAGTTAGCCGAATAGGTCTATTGAACATGCACCTGCCTTTTTGCAGAATTGTCTAACTTTTACTTTGTCAAAAAATGAGCATCTTCCTAAAAATGCTTTCCTGAAGAGATACACTGTTTTTACACAAAGGATGTGCTTCAACAACTTAGCCAGATCTGTTGAACAGGGTCCGAGTTGTAACTTAATTTAATATCGCTAGGTGGTAATATCTGTGGGGGTAGCGGGGACAATCTTATATAAAAGTGATAGGGATGCTCATCATCTCACTTAGGGATAGGAATTGCAGATTTTTGTGTTACTTTAACTTAGGGTGTTCAGGATAGGAAGCCATTATTTTCACTCATAAATGTTTAAGTCAAGGTTCTCTGTAAGAAATACTCGTGAAGAAAAGGAATGTTGGCAAACTGTGATAGGGTATGATCTCCTCTGGGGGTCAAATAAAGCCTGAGCTATGCCCACATTGGTGATTTTTAGGGCTGTAGTTGTAATTTTCCCACAAGCATCCTGATCATTCTTACATAGGAGTCTGTCCTCCTCACCTCCGGGTAGGAATTTTCTGTTCCAGGGAGATCTAAATATCATTCCATTCTATCCCTGACCAGGTCTAGGGTTTGAATATAAAGATCGATACCCAGTTGAGTGGACTGTGTTAGAGGGTCAACAACATCCAACACATAGGACTCTATGGAATGCCTATTATCTAAAGAAATTGGGTCAACAACAACGTTGTTATCTTCTTCTGAAGGAGAGGGGCCCTCAGGGTCATATCCGTAGAATTGAATATCATCTGGCTCTCCATCCACATCCCCATGAGCAAGGGGATTATTGGCATGCATCATGCCATTCATCCAAATTTGATATGGGGTCCAATTACCCTCAGTACTCACTGCGTGATTGTTGAAAGCTTCAGAAAATTCTCTCAGGGAATTGTTTACTCTAGGGATTAAAATAGTGTGTAAAGCGAAAAGCTGAATTGGATCCTCGACATTAAGAATCCCTGATGATTCCATTGCATAAAAAGTATAGTAGTACAGATGACAAACACATCTATAGACTTCTCTCCAGAGGCGTTCAATCCTCTGATTGTGTGTTGATGGACCAGCAATGAAACTTGCTCTTCCTTCTCCTCGATATTGTATCATTGCATCACAAACAAGGACGTTCTCGACTCCCCTATCAACTCGGATTCTCGATGGCCAACGGTCACCATCCCTTTTGACAGCATCCAAAAACAGGTCAAGCACTGTCTCTGACAGGTTATTCGAATTACACTTTAAATATATTATACGCCTCGAAAACCCATCGACACAACCATGAATGACTAGCTTCCAGCGAATTAAAGAATGGTGCCCATCTAAGTGCCATAATGAATTGGGCCATGGGACCTGGTATACCCTTCGTGAAACAAGAATTCCCCACCTCAAAGCCCTGTTTTGTGGGTCCAGTCGAGCTAAACATTCCCTTACTCTTCTTCTTTGCACTCTCAATCCCAGGGATCTTAAATATCCCGTCATATACACTTGTCCACTTGTTGCTCCATGTTCACGAATATAACCTCGCACTACGTCTTCCAACTCGTCATCAGACAGTTTACTAAACGACCTAAAATCTTCTAAACCATAATCTTTGATCCTTCTTGATATAGTCCAACGAGATACTCCCAACATCTGCGCAATTCTAGTGTAAGTAAATCCTAAACTCAGAAGGTCTTCAAGTAGTTCTGCAGATATGTCGAAAGCCGGCTTACCGGGTTCACCACTTTTAAGCCTGGGACAAACATTCTTCGCCACTGTGGTGGGAGACACGGCTGCTCTGGCTGAACATTGTTGCAGGGCTGATAAGACATCACTGAACGCTGATGAGAGATTATCTAAGGTTTCTTTGTCAGAGGCATTAATATTCGAACTGCTGTCTCGGAGTATACGAAGCAAACGCACCGTTTCATCGACAACAACAATATGCTGCTCCACAATTTCCTCATCCACTATCGTCTGGGAAATCTGGTCAGTTCTTTGAAGCACCGAGTCAAGAAACCTTAGAAGGTCAGATTCCACATCGAAACCTTGGAGCCTTGTGTCATCTTCATAAGCTCCTATTTCCGTAGCCAGACTAGCAGCTAAATACAGGAATTGCACCGACCTGTGATTGGAAGATAAAAATAGTATGTCAGTGGCGATGACGTGACAATTCGTTACGTTAGCCGTTTCAAGAGTAACGGTTTTTATCACAGGAAAATACAATATAATATTAAATATTTCTCAAAGACAAACAGTGCAGTATTCTTTTGAAGTCGGCTGACTCGTTAAGAGTCAATGTCTCATCGAAGTTGAAGTTCAACTGTCGCAAATCGGATAACTTCACTGAGTGATTCTGAGATGAAACCTTTTGTCTGCATCCACACTGATCTTAGATTTTACCACTTACATATTGCAGAAAAGCCATAAACAGAGCTTCAATGTCCACGTACACCCGACTGAACCTCGGTGCGATTCCTGCAGATACCGCTGTTCATACTAAATGCAGGAATTGCAGCGGACGCGTTCTCGTCCCCAGAGTTTTTTTTACTGCGCACCTAAGTATTGTCATGTTACTCCCTTGCTAAGAGAACTCCACTGGCTTGCGCGTAGATTTTAAGATTCTCCTTGTTACATTTAAGATTCTTCACGGTGTTGCGCCTAGCTATCTTAAGGATCTTGTCTCTGTCTTACCGGACTCACGTTACCAACTACGCCGTAACAATAATGGTATATTGTTAGAAAGGCCTCGGCTAAGAACGAAGAAGACTTTGGCAGATCGCGCGTTATCGATGGCTGCCCCCTTTTTATGGAACAGTCTTCCTCTGCCAATAAGACAGGAAACATCAATCGACTCTTTTAAAAGCTCTGTTAAAACATATCTATTTAAGAAGGCTTTTAGTTAGATTATTTATTTATTTATTTATTTTTAAATATTGTAATTTTACCGGGTAATTTTACTGGTTTTTAATTTTATTATTAATAATATTGTAATGCGCTTTTGAGTATTTTTTATAGAAAAAGCGCAAAATAAGTATTAAATATTATTATTATTATTAATTTTTGGAATTTCTGGTTACATCAGATTAGTCACGTTAGTACTGTCATATACTATATAATTGGTGGCAGAGGCATTGGGGAATGGGTAGCCTGTGTACAGACCCCTCCCACCTCCCCTCAGGAAAAATCTGAGGGAAGCGGGAGGGTCTGTACACAGACTGCCAATCGCTTCTCCCTTCAAAAGACTTTCTCTTAACCCATTCCACGGCCGCCCAATGATTGGGGGGTCTTGTTTTGTTTTGCTTTGTTTTGTTTTTTTTTCGATCCTACCCACAATTCTCTATTCAACTTAAGTGACAGTTATTTGAAATCAGTGCGCGCCTAAAGCTGGCTTCGTCGGGTGGCTCAAACAGTTAACACCCGTGAAACAGCTAATAATATGGTGACTTGAACAGTTAGCACCATAGAAAATAGGGTGGCTCAAACAGTTAACATCCTTGAAAGAACTAACAATATAGTGGCTTGAACAGTAGCACCGTTGAAAATAGGGTCACGTTTTTTTGTTGCCCGTTTTACCGTACCTTAACCGAGCTTTTGTTTCCTTGTTTCATCTAGATAGAAGCTATGAGGGGTAGTCTTGTAGTTTATTCCCAAAAAAGGGCTTTGGTCGTCAAAACGAGGCAAAGAAACGGTGAAGTCATCTTTAGTACTGGAAACCCTAATATTTAGCTTCTATAGATTAGAGAGATTGGCATGGTTGAACAATTTTTGGATAGTAAAGATGGTTAATTCGCTTCATAGTGGGTATGACCTTATTGGGAGTGGATAAGGGGCCCATCTGAAAATGATGAATATTAGGTTAGGGTTACAGGTACAAGCCGCCTTTTAACTGTGTTTAGACCGTAGCACAAAGCTGTTTTATAAACTCTAGCGTGTCATGACGTACACTTGCTAAAACTTACGGAACAATTTCTGCTTTTTTCCTTTCAAGGGCAGTTTATCATTCAGCATAAACAATCAGCATGGCTGATGTGATTCAAATTTGAAGTCGCTTTCCTTTAACTTTACCTGACCTATCTATTCCTGCCCCCAAGTCCCTTCCATTTTGATACTTTTTAACAGTTCTTGCATGATGCGAGACTTTCGACGTCGATAAGGATAACAACTTCACAAGATCTACATGTACAGTTACTCTTTATTTTTCCTTTACAAAAATAAAAGCCCATACGAAATCATTTAAAGCTGCAGAGAATGCTCCATTCTTAATGTTGGCTTAAAATTTTTTGGACTTGGCGCTTCTCTCCAGGATCATGCTGAAAAGGAAATATAACAGCAAACCAGGTTAGCTATGGACTTCTGAGTCTTAAAAAAATTGCAGTCAGGAACCTACAATATATCACGATTCAGTCCGGCGGGTGCTCGCAAAACTCTGTGTATAAAAACTGAACTCTTCAGTACCATTTGAGTACAAGCTATTTTTAAGAAGTTCTTTAAGTCGAAGCCAGTGACATTGGAACTCAGAGCAGGATCATTCTATAGTGAAAATATTCAATACCCATTGACGAGAGAATGACCGCTAACTTGTGCACTTTTACTTTTCACATTGCAATGAACATTTAAATTTACTATTTTTATTTTTTTCTTTACCTGCGACAAGTTTCTGTATTGCTAGTATTTGCTCCTGGCTCAAACCTCTGTTGTAGATCCGCATCTGAGCAATTCTACCCTTGAAGCACCTGCCATCACCACTCCTCACTCCCATTCTGATAACGTCTTGAGTGGCCAGTTCAAGGCCCGCTCCAATTTTTAACGTCTGAACCGCGGCTCTATTGACCCACAGTTTGGCTTCGCCAGAACAACGGTCGTAAGAAGCGCCAATAAACTTCCATCCACCCACGAGGCTGGCGTGCACTGACAAATGTTTGGTAGACGCGTAATTTCGTTTGTTGAAAAGGACAAAAAGAGCCCCGCTGCGGGTAACCCAGAAATGAACACCAAAGGTTGAACCCAGTTTCTCGTAGTTGAAAAGCGGTCCGCCTTTGCCATCATAGTAAATCCAGCACAGGATAGTCATCGAATAACGCACGTCCAAAGGTCCTCCAATCCTGTTGGGAAACTCGGTGTAGCTGTTGGAACTTCCAGAAAATTTATAAGATTAGTTAGGTCTTCCATCGGGCCCTGGAGCCAGAGTAACTCCACGAGGAATCCCTTTTACCGCTCGGTTGTTAATCTCCTTGGTACCGTACGCAGCATTGAGGGGGAAAAAGACGACAGGATCTGGAACTTTGAATGAGTAAAGAATATTTATCATTATTTTTGAAGAAACTCAATTCTGATGCAATGGATCTGTGAGGAGAATCCGACGATGGGTATCAGTCAGCAAATGAAAAATAAGGTTTATAATTATGATCGGCCACGGTAGTGTACAACAGGATCGCATGTGTCACTATGTAATTTTACGTGGCCTAATATTTATGCCCGGATTTACATATTTTTTAATCACCCATTAAAAGAGATTCACAGCTTATAAACGTGTATTTACACTCTAACTCTTTCTCCCTTTTCTTATTGACTGAAGTTTATGCGGAAACTTTGAACCAGCTTTGAAAAATATGGAATAAAGAAGGCTAGAAAGTTAATCACTCAGTAGTCTAGCAATTATGCATATTTTATAGAAGTGACGGCATTCAAAACTGAACTGCAACCACTGAACCAACCTTTTTTCCTTGTTTCTTCTTTCTCGGATAAATTTTTTAGCTCTTGTTCAATCGCTTCCAGTTTTGTTTTCATTTCTTTGATTATTTTCTCGAGCTTGGGTCCAGCGTGAAAGCTGTAATAGTTGTTTATGTTGCAAGTAGTTTCCTTTGAAGGTAGGTTATTCTGGCTTTGTGTTGTCGCGGGTTCTACCGTTTGTAGGAGCCACAGAAAGCAGATGAAGCCAGCGAAAATCATTCTGTATAATGTTTTGTAATGTTACACCTCTCTCAGTCAAGTTTGAAGGAAATAGTGGCGAGCTATACAGCTAAGAACTGTCTTTTTATTTGACTGTATGATAAAGTATTCCACCAATAAAACTTCAAGAAGCTTTCACCTTGGCGGTAGAAATGTTTGAAAGGCCTATAACACGTGTCGTTGAATGTTCTTGTAAAAGCCTGTTTACCTCTAATCAAAAGCTCTTTCTTTAACTGAATCGACTTTGTCACATGTAGAGGTCCGTATACAAATTCCCTACACAGGGAATACTGAAGGGACTCAATGGACCATTTTGACAAATTTTATGTAGCAAAACCAATTCAATTTCTACCATGCTAGTGACGAAGACATTTAGCTGGAAAAAACCTTAGTTTCATTAAGTTAGAGACATGATGTTTCAGAAAGGGCTCCCAATCATTAAATTGGGTGGCCACGAAATAACATCGCCTGTGAGGTACTTAAGCGGAGTTTCCGTTGCTCGAGGCGAAACACGTTTTACAACATTTGCAAAAAAACATGCTTAGCTAATTTAATGAGTTCTCAACGACTCATACAAACAAAACATCCTGAGATACATTTTAAGATCGGATATGCTTAAGATATAATTACTTCATTCGTTGTAAGCAGAAACCTTGAAACTCTCTGAACAGAGCATTAACAGCAAAGCGGCCGAATTGCCAGTATGAATCCTTAAAAGACCACGGAAAATAAATTATCTTCTGAATGGGTAATAATAAGAAAATTTAGTTTCAACTCGAAACGCAATCTCTGTATGTCACTTAAAGGCTTTTATTAGTGTTTGATGTAATTCGTTGTCCAATTTAAAAATTAAGTTTGGTAGGATCAAAAATTTTATTGTTAAGTCTTATATGGCAGTTTTCCTGTCCAAGGCCGCGATGAGTTTTCAGACACTGAAATTTCTGTACGCCTGAGTTAAAACCAGAAACACTGACATAAATAGTGTAGATTAACAATGTTGGAATTCAAAAAGTATCGATTAACTAAAATTTTTGCGTAATGGAGAAGATATTGTTAATAAAAAAGCTGAAACCAGCGTTGATTACGTTGAAGTTCTCAAGCATGAAAAGGAACTTGTGTTTTGGTCCTGAGACAATTTCTTTGTGATGATCTAAACTTTCCCCCGATGTCAAAGTTGTCCAATCCGACAACGATACTACCTTTGTTAAAAAAACTCAGCCTTTGATACGATAAAGTAAAACATTAAAAGAAAAAAATATTCCTTATTATTTGAAAAGGTGTAGCGCGACGAAACAAAACGAGGAAGTTGAAATGAAATTATACAGATGTCTCAGTGCATAAATTTCACATATATGATTAATTCGCCTGTCCTGAAAAAAATTATCTTTCAAAATATTAAAAACTTCCACAACGAAAACGGCCGAAAACTTACCCCTTTTAGAGGTACTGAATTATACACGATGAAAGACAAAAATTTACATTTTAGTTTTTAAACCGCGTGATACGACGTGATCCCTATTGACTGCAAAATACTCATACCTCATTTCCAATGCGACATGGACACCAGGATATTTTCTGCTGATAACCATAATATTAAATGACTACAGCAGAGCCGTCTGAAGGGAAGGGCCGGATTCAATAATTGTGCCACAGGATGGGAATATATCTTCATGTAACACCGCTCCAATGTTTAGTTTTCCGTCCATCGCCCTCTTTTTCGTAAAACTGGAATGAATGAATAAAGGGAAAAAGGCTCATAACTTGCCGCTGCATGGTCCCCTGATTCAAGGCAATTTGTGTGCTTTTTTGTACTATAAAAACGACGCGGTCTATCCAGTCTTTCGCAATTTCCTACGTGAGACCCGTACGTCTTCATTGGTACCTTGGTTTTGGTGAATGGGTTCTAAGATATATTCACGAAGGAATGAAGAAATAATATAAAGTAGACAAGAGACACGTAAAGAGAGAGACTTGTTAAACAATAAGCAGCTTTGATCAAAGACAAAGATAATTTATGGGCAAATAACAATGCAAATAACAAAGACCTTTGGCCTGATGAGACAAGTCAAATGAATAATCCAGTCTCTACTTTGAATTTACTGTTACGTCGGTTATCACAATTTAATGAGACTTTATTTTGTCCTTAAAAACTTTTAGATGCAACTGATCATGTTAATTTCGAATGACTAATAAGTTGACAAACCCTCTGATCACTTATAAATCATAACACCCAAATATACTTTACTCTCCTCTTATAGGCCTTTTCAGGGATACTAATTAACAATAGTTGAAACTAAACATATCACATCTAAGAATCCCAATATAATGATTACAAAGATGATGATGATGATGATGATGATGATGATGATGATTGGTGTCTTTAAGGCCCAAAAGTTGGAAAGCAGGAAAGTATTGGAAAGTATTATACACCACAGGAGCGCTTGTCAAATGGGATTCAAAGGAAGGCTCCCTTAAGTATGCCCTTAATTATTGGAATGGATGGGGTTAAAATTAATAAGATAACCAAACAAAGAAGTTAATATATACAGAAACAACGCCCAGGATATAGCAGTAAGAAGGCGTTCATGCTTTAATTAAGTCTCTTTTTTTAATTTATATAAATGCTCACTGAAATCTAAGCATAAAACCGATTTGTGGAACGATATTTAACTTGCCTGAAAATGTGCCTCCCCAAGAAAATTTAGAAAAACGATTAACCTGAAACGCAAGGATCCTGTAATTTTCTACTTTCTCTTCAGTCAAGCGCCAGTTTGTTATTGGAACAAGAAGAGAGCCTAAGCAACAACGAAGGCAACGGTAGCGAAGACGTCACCCAAACAGTGAATTCTCGCTGTTTTAAAATTTACGCCCTTATTCCAACTCTTTTAATTTGTCCAATGTTAGCGATTTTTCAAGGAGTTGAATTCTGAAGGAGTGTATCTAAGTTCACAAAGAGAAAAAGAAAATCGTTGTCTCGTGTTCACGTGCCCTCCACGTGAAATTGGGAAGTTTCACGTCGTAATTGTGCAGTGATGGCAAAGAAATGTACAAAAAAGCGTACAAAAAGGAATGTACAAAAAAGCACGTGCAAAGTTGTTGTTTGTCAATCTAAACCTACTGCTTTTTTGCCGTTCTCGTTGCTTTTGACGTCGTTATTGCTTAGGCTCCCTTAAGTAGCATGGCTTATGGCGCTCAAACGTGAACTCACTCTCCTTTAGCCTGCGTGCAGGCGTCTTTTATCTTCTATTTTCCACGCTGGCGAAACAAAAAAAAATGGAGACGTCTACCCTCAGATTAACTCTCCTTCAACTTTGAACAAAGTTGACTCGTCCAGAGGTTGAACTTATTATGCTCTCAATGATGAGGTATATTTCCCCCGTAAGGCTTCTCAATATCGACGACGCTACCAACTTCAACTTCGAGTAAAATAAAAAAAAAGAGAGTTGAAAGGCAACGTAGCTGAGTATCGTGAATGTAGTGAACTACCTTTTAACGGATTCCGCACCTTGCAACCGATGTCTATTTCAAAAGTAAGGCAAAGGTGGCATCGTGAAAGCATTGTCTGAGTAACAGCCGTTTCTGGGCAAAGAGCGAAAAGGGGAGAAAGCGACACATCAACAGATGTGTAATTAGAACAAGAAGGTTTGTTTGACAAACCTCTAACGCAAAACTGGCAATTTTGGGCTTAGCTTCCATATCCTTAACTTGCAATTTTCAGAAAAAAGGCAGTTTAAACTTTGTACTAAATCCGTCTAGAAACCTATTCATTTGCGCTCACTTTAGAGTAATTGCAATATCGAACTACATACCCCTGGAGTCTTTTTCCAGTGCTGTCGACAAAAATCCAGCAAACGGCTACTTTAAGGGTGTCGGGCCTATGAAAATAAACAGCCTGGTGCCCTGACACTGGGCTTCCACCTATAGCTTAAAAACCAATATTCGTATTAATTCGTATTACTTATAAGCATAAAAGAAAATACAGAGAGTTTTATGATCCTTAAACTTTTCTAGCTAGGCAACGTAGAGCTATATATTTTAAATGTTCGTGTTACTTGAGTTTCACTCTCGTTTTATTGCTCTTATCTTGTAAGGAGAAGGAAACTGGACTAATGCTCGGCGAGGCTTAAGCAATGGTGGTTTTTGACCTTCCTCGGGCACGAATGTAAACTTATGCAACATCCAAGACAAAAACATAAACAGCTCCATTTTCGCCAGCGGCTCCCCAGCGCACGTACGTCTTCCTGCACCAAACGGGTAGAAATTTCCTTTGTCTGTAATCCACTGGCCTTGATCGTCAATATGGCGATATGGGTCAAACACCATGGGATTTTCCCAGCATTTTGGGTCCAGATGCACTGACTCTGTGTCAACAAAGACGATCGTGCCTTTAGGAACACGATAGCCGCAAAGGGAGGTGTCCTTGAGAACACAGTGGGGTAATGCTTGTGGTACAATGTTTCCTAGTCGCAATGTCTCCATGATTGTAGCTTGGACGAGGGGCAGGCTTAAGCGATCGTCTAAGCACGGCATCCGATTGCGGCCCACCACTTCATCTAACTGTGTTTGAATATCTCTCTGATAGTGTGGGTACTGCACCAGAAACCCGATTGCCCAGCTTAGAGTGTCTGTGGTGGTTTCATAGCCTGCTGCGAACATGTCATTTATGGTATTAATGAGGTGGTCTTCAGACATTATGGCTGCCATGTCTCCCGAATTTTTGGCTAAGGCTTCATTCCGGGCATGCATCAAAGCTTCCTTGAGATCTTCAGGTGTCTTCGTTGAATCAAACACCTTCTCGCTCTCCTTGAAAACCTTTCTTATAACCTCCAAGCCATGTCGAATGTAACCAACCACCTTCTCGCACGATTTAAAAGGAAAATACTTTGAGAAAGGAAAGAAACCAAGAAAAACCATGGCTTTGACATCTTCGGTGCTTCTCGCGAACGACTCCACATCAGCTAACAAATCACCAACATTTTTGTCGCCTGTGTCAAATTGCTTACCGAATATTATTCCGCTAATTATGTCTGCGATGCAGGGTGTTATAAACCTAACAGGATCAAAGGCCTCTCCTTTTTCATTCTCGAATAAATTCAGTAACTTCCGAGTGGATTTACTGAGACGTTCTTCAATAAGGGGTATGTTGGAAACGTATTGTCTTAAAGCTGAGACAAAAATGCGTCGGTGATACTTCCATGGTAAATTATCATCTCCAAAAATAATATCTTTTCCACCTGCAAGAGAGAAACACACACACGCACACATTCAGAAATAAGGGGTACGCACTTTCGAAATGAACCAGGTTTAACAGCCAAAAGGGTGGTTTAGTTTGAAAACCAAACTCATAATTAGTTTCAGCCGAGCCTAATAGCGGAGATCTTACTAATAATAATAATTTTAGTTCGCGCAGAGATCAGTGGGTAATCAAATATGATAGTTTTTCGATACAATGAAGTTTGGTCATGTTATCACACCGTATACGTGAGATCCAAACGATCTTTCTCCGCCATCCATGTAAGCCAGTGTGGAATGTCACACTCGCTATCACCCTTAGGTAAACTGAAGTCAGATAAGCAACAACGAGGACGTTCAATTTAGGCTACCTCCCCGTAATTCTAACCCAGGTAAAATTTAATTCTGTTTACTCATCAATTGAGGCTTTTTGTTTTGTTGTTGTAATCTAACGGTAACTAAAAGACTATTTATTTTTAATTTTAAAATTACTTTTCAAATGTAAAGACCTGATTTTTATGTCTGACCTTTCTTTTACAATCAGCCTAAATTTACCTGGCTGTTTAGATTTCCCAGTCAGGTGGTAAAGTGGCATCACTGATTTAAGAATTGTTGATAACACAATTCGCAGTTCATGAGTATAACATGTACAGAACGTTTTTGTACCAACTTGGTAGGATGATTTTGACACAAGAAATACTTCCTATCTTTTAAAAATGACTTTGGTCGACCTTGAGTCAACGGAGTACTCAAAGGGGTTAAAGATCGAAATGCAGTTCCATTTCGAGACATTCGGAAATTCAATGCGAAAATTAAAGTCAAGTCCACTTACCAAGAGTCATTTTTCTAAAATAATATGTTTGTGGTCTTCCGCTGTAGTCAGCTGACCTTGTGACCAGAACTTCCTTCACGGCCTCAGGTGTTCCAGCGATAACAAACTTGAAACTTCCAAGTTTAAGAGAGAAAACTCTGCCATATTTTTTTTGGATGCTGTAACAGTTAAAATTTAAATTCATCTTAAAGAAGTTAGATTAAAACCGTCCCTCGGCTCCCCCACCCAACGTAACCAATTGCACGAATCAGTTTTGCAATAGGCGCTGAAAAAAAAAGGTCCGCACAAGGCGTCATAAGGCGAATTCTCTTCGCTCTGAATGTCAAAAGAGGCGCATGTGAAGGCGTTAAGAAAATAGGCTTGCATAGGACTTTCTCTTAGTGTCTGCGTTAACGAAGATGGACCTTTCAGAGTTGGGGGTGTCAGTCGCCAGGCACAAAAAAATGTTATATCTACATATGTAGTAAGGATTCATTTAGATCGACCCCTTCCACATCCGGATATTTTTGAATCCACAACTTTTTCTTTCCGGATACGACCCCCGTCCACACGTATCTGGTGAAGGCCGGCATACGAATCGGCAACTTTTTTGAATCAGCTCAATAGAGTGGAAATTTTTGAATACGCTAAGAATCGTGTGGACGCTGAATCTGGCTATTTTTTTTTAATCTGGGGACGTAACAAGATCGAGCCCAGTTCTTTACTGTGAATCTCTTGTGTGAATAGTGTATTCAAGATGGCAACTTCGACGCATGCTCAGTTGCCAATTTTTCCCAGAGGAGTCCTGGGTACTAGAGTGTACGTGTCAGACACGTGTGGATGGGCAAATTCGATTTGAATACGGATACATGTGGACGTGGAAATTTCTTAATCCAGAAAGAAAAAGTTGCGGATTTAAAAATATCCAGATAAGTGTGGATGGGGCCCCTATTAATTTATGTTATTATTCATTCAAAATATTTCCCCTATTCTGATTGGCTAAAAGCACACGTTTAATTCACCATAACCAGTTACGGATGACCAAATTTGGAAGAACTTTGACTTTAACGAGGAAATGACGTCAAAAATGCAGCGTTTTCGCAGGTTAAGGCACCGTTAACCGAGAAGACCTGGGGACGAGGTTGAGTTGTTTTGGTTGTGAACTAATATGAACTTGAAAAAATGGCGGACATTTCACTCGTTTCAAGAGTAAGAACTAGGCCAAAAAATAGCTAAAAACATGGCAAGAACAGCAAGAAGGCAACTCGAAGGGCGACATCTGCTATTTGGAGAATATTTGCGGAGCTGGACAAACCTAAACGTACACTGTCGAAGATGAACTGAACATCGATGGATCGATGGAGGTAAGCATGTTTTAGCTATGTTTTTATACTAGGAATTATTTTGAATGAATAATAAAACAGTTATTGAATTCGGCTTTCGTATCATATGAAGAATTATGGAGATCTCGGAGGGTGTTATCCGCCCCAGCCGATAACACCCTCCTCGATCTCCATAATTCTTCGTAAGATACTCAGCCTCATTCATTAACTGTTAATTAACCGTTTGAGGTTATTGCCAAAGGCGTCAACATAACCGTTATATTCGTCAGTATTGCCTTTTCGTTTAGTTGCATAATCTTTTATGTTTTGTTCCGTTGCGTAATCAATATTTGCATTCTATACTTATCATGCACGAATGCCCAAATCAAACACGCCAAAAAATGCTTTCCAATTGTCAGAGCCAAAGGGTCAGACTCTTATCATGCCGAACATCGCTTCTTAGACCTAGTTGGCGTTAGCAAGCTAAACACATATACAGATAGCTTTAAGGAAATGACTTAGAAAACAGTACCCATACCAACTACATATATTGTATTAACTCCTACGTGTATTTTTTAAGCGGAAAAAAAGTAGCCACCGGAAATACGTCTGTGCTCTCAGGCGAGTAATATGACGTCAATAAGTTGTATGTTTTTTAAACTGTCAATATCATTTTTCTGATGCCATGATATAATTGCTATCTCTCTACCAACAACGTAAGTCACGCACTCACATGACGAGGAACGAGGCAAGCATTTTTTATAAGTCGACATCATACCGATGTAAACTTTCTTGCCAAACATTACAGCAAGTTGCATCTGTTCATGTTTGTATTCGTGTAATAAGGTTCAAAGTTTATGACAAGGAAATTGCTAAAGTTCATTCGAGTGGGTTCCTTAGAAATGCTTGAATTTAAATTTATAGTCAAATGTTCGATACAGCTTATCGGGGTGATTTTTCCTTTTAGTTAATACAACGTCGATCAAGATACATGAAACTTAATGATAGAGAGCAACTTCAAACAAGGGCACCCAACGTCAATTTTTGGAAAATATCTGTTCGGGAGACGACATGACACCTTGAATTTTCGGAACGTTGTAAAATTTCTTGCTTGCCTCTCTCCTAGGATTTTCGAACATCTAAAAAATGGTACAATTGCCCATTTTTAACGGATTTTTTCTCTAAAAGGGTCTGCTAGAATTTTCGGGAGCCTTTCTTCTGGCTGAAATTCTCGAAAAGGTAAGTTTTGATCCCTATCATTTTCGGATCACTAGATTTTCAGCAAGGAAATCCGAACAGATGAAACTTTTAGGGGATAAAAATATGCCTATATCTACCGTTTAAAAGCTAAAATACGTTTAACAACGCTAGCTTTAAGCGGTTTTGAACTATGTTCTCCTTGGGTGCCCCTGCGATATGGCTTATTGAAAATAAAACGTTGATCAAGATACATGAAATTTAATGATAGAGAGCTACTTCAAAGTTCACTCGCCATCAACTACAATTCCTTCGCAAAATTCAGATACTGCAAAGGTGATTAGGATATATATCTCATCGACAAACTATTTAAGTACACTTCAAATTTTACTAAAAATTTATCAAATATATTGGAACAGCAATTAGAATCAATTTTACCAGTAGGTGGACAACGAGCAGAACAAACGTAACATCTAAATGGTCTAATGGGAATCCCTGCACTTAGAGTAAATGTCTTAAACAAACTTGTCAGTGAACGGATTGATAGCAACTATGACCATGAAAGCCTGATGAAATATTCTGAATACCTTGAGATGGCGCTTGGAAAATCGTCAGCTTTCAGATCAAAACTCAGCAGGTTTCCTATAACTGGAAGGTTTGTAAGCCTCGGCCCGGGTGGCATGTCTCTAAATTGATATAGCTCGTAGAGGAAATGCAGCAGAAGTCCAGAGAGTAATGCGATAACTGCATTACCAACAGTTATGTATTGCACCACAAACCCCAACATGATGCGAGTTACGTGCTGAAGTGAATTGATATACGAGTTGCCTTTCCTAAAGAACTGTAGCCACGTGGGTAATTGAATGTTACGTAACAAGATTGTACACGTCAAAAGACAACAGTCGACACCCATAGCACTAACAATACTGTTAGTCAAGCTATAATTTTTATTCCTTGGTAAGAAATTTGTAGTTATGTCGACAAACCGTAAGAAATCTTTTGTCTCTTTATAATTCTTTAATGGCTGAAAATTATGTTCGTATTATTCTTAAGTCAGAGTAGTTACAGAGAACGTGATATCACACATGTACTTTAATAAATTCATTCTAACTTCAATAGTTTAGTGCTCCATAAAACACGATTACTTAATCTTTTCTTTACAATCACTGCTACGATTTTGTAATGGTACGCTTAGTAACTCTTTGTAGTTGCAATATGCTGCGCAATTGGATATTATAATTTAAGAAAAGATGATTGACAATTTATAACAAAAAAATGAGGCGCGAGCATTGCTTTAATTCAGTTAACTGAAATTCGAAATGACACGTTCAGGGGTACCCTGCGTGCAGAGGCCCTTCGATCTTCCTAGACCTCTACTCACAGGGCTAGATCAGGGGGTTCTCTGTAGACGAAGGCGTCGGCCGAGTAGGATAATTATCATGTCTCCTTTTAACAGAGGGACAAGTCGAGGGACAAGTCAAGAGGCAGATTAATTACATCTTTGCAGCCATCAATCGAATTTCGAATTACTTTATCCTCCCTCTCTTGCTGTCATATAGAGCTATTTTTCTTCTTTTTTTTGTCAGCGGTCAGCTGGCGGGTCTTTTTACTGCTCTGCTTCGCAGCTCATCTTCAGTGAAGGTTACATAACATTATAAAAAAGTCAAATCGAGCGTAATCATCATGATTGTTAATGGCCATATATAATTAGTTTTTCCAGCCCGTCACCATACGTATTTTGCTTTCTGCATGTATTTTTTTGTTCTTTGTTTCTTTTTTCATGCCTTTATTGTTCTACTTCTCACATTTCTTTTTTTTTTGAAAACGTCCCTGCCAAACTGAAGTAGACCGTTCAGTCGAGTTCAGAGTACTGAGAAGGCTTCATGTGAGTCGAAGACGGCTACGAGTGCGAGGATTTCTCAGTATTAAGTAGTGCTTGAGCGTGAGCCACCGTCATTTTGGAGAGAAAACGTGGTAGCCGTCGTCATCCTACTACGATTTTTAGCGAGAATGTCGTATAGTGGCGGGAACAAGTTATCGAATTTTAGAATTTAAATCATTTTGCAACCGGGATAGGGCAAAACCCTCTCCGCTAAAAATAACCGCACTTGTCTAATTATTCAGGTGAAAAATAGAACAATGAAGGTTTCCGGGGTTGAATATTTTTTGAAAACACGCGAAAAAACGTTTATAATAGTAAAACGCATTACTATATTCAATAGAAACTTCGCCCGAGGGTGCAACCTTATTAGTTCTGTTCGCCTGCTTTCTTTCTCCTTGCTTTCTCTATATTTCCCCCTCCTTTTTCTTCACTATTTTAAAACATCTGGCTAGATATACTAAATTTTACATCATCTGTCATTACGACACCTGAAGGAGGATCATGACTTTATCCGTATACACTGTATATCGGTTTATTAAGGTCTCTCCCGCCCAGCCCCGAAAAGGTTGGCCACACCATCGGGATTTGCGTCCCCTACACTTTTCGAACAATGAGGTGGGTTCTTTTACGCCCCCCAAGTGAAAAGTTCCGTCGGACGGGACCTACGGTTTTCCGTTCTTTTCCTAAAAGATTAGACGGACTTCCCGTTCGCAGATTTCATTACAAAAGCAGCACTTGCTCAGCAGGAACCTATGTCATAGGCCCCGAGCTGTTCTCAGTAATTTAAAGACCCTGACTGTTGGTCTGGCAGGGGTTTGAACCCACGACTTCCTGCTCAGCCGTCTGGCGCTCTCCCAACTAAGCTAACCAGGCCGCATGCAGTATGGTGCAGATCAGCTAGAACGGGCAATGTTAGTAATCCAATATATATTACGTGCAAAAAATGTGGGGGCAGATCACGAACCAATATGGATTTTAGTCATTACGTCCCATATTGCCCGTTGTTTGGCATCAGCTTTTCCGGGCCAGTAACCAATTATAATAACAATTGCACCGTTATATGCAAAATAACAAATATTTTCCTATCACGAGGATAGATTCATTAAAGTGTCAAGTGTAAGTTTTGGGCTGAAAGACTTCGACTTAGGACAGATCCTATCTGACCATAACAGTCTGAAGAAAGTGGTCTTAAAGTGTAAGTATTGCTGTTTGCCTTACTTCATAATCACAGTCGCCATTTCGCTACTTATACTACTACATGAGAAATTTCTGCAATTTGATTGGCTTAGAGCAGTGGTATTTCAGATTTATTTGAAATACCTACATGTGAAAATTACAAACCTTTTGTGGGTAGTAGTAAAAGCAAATAATAGCATAATTTGTACGTGATATTTGGCATAAATACAACTCGTGAAATTTCAAAATTGTCCCAAATTTCACTCGCCTAAGGGTTCGTGAAATAACGTATAATAATTTTGAAATATCACTCGTGGTATTTAATATCACAACAAATCATGCTATTACCTATAAAAATCGGCGAGCAATTTCCCATTCTAGTAACTTAGACAAGCAAGGAATTCTGAAAGCCCTTTAAAGAAGATTGCACAACGTTAAAAATCGCATCTTCCCCGGCAATCTACGGAAGTCAAACCTTTCAGCCCAAATTTTAAGGTTAAAAGGTTCTTGATTTTTTTTTCGGGAAGCCTTTGCGTTACTATAATTATATGCGCAATGAAACATACTCAAATGTACATTGCGCTTTATCAGTCTCTTCTCGTTGAGGTTAACTTCTAATTAGCTCAACCAAACCATGGGTTATTGTAAACTGAGTGACCAACAGTCCTGTTACTTTTATAGTCCCTCTCAGAACTCCATTTCATTTACTGATGAATCGTGTTCGATCACTCGCAAAAATAGAGATTACTTCATGGGCGGGGGCGCGTACGAGATTTTCGCACGAGTTGGTGATGTATCAGTTATCGCACGAGCGAGCGCAGCGAGCGAGTGAGATTTCTGACACAAACAACGAGTGTGAAAATTCGGTACAAGCCCCCTGTCCATGAAGTAATTTATTTATTTCATACATACTGGGTGAACAACTTGAACACTTCTTCTTTTTATTTAGGAAAACTTCTCTTTATTTAGAAAAAAATGACCAGCGAATTTAAAAAACAAGGGGCCAGCTCAAACCAAATGCCCTAAAAAATACATCATTCGTTGGGCTCTACAAATGTTGTGAGTTAAAATATTGACAAAAAATTAATCAAAAATGAAATACATTTTATTGACTCAAGACTGTCTGCGATGATTACATCATTAATTGACTCCTAGATAAATCATCGAATAGTACTATCAATAAAAAAGCTTTGACAAAAAATTGTCACTGAAATGGTACAGCAGGCGGGCTGCCCTCATCGGATTAGTCAAGAACTCGCTTGATGCGTTTCTAGCCCCGTACTACAGTAGAAACAGTTACTACAAACAGAAAGAGTAACTATAAACTCACTCAGAAAATCATTGAGTTCCTGTGAGTAAATCTCTTCTATTTTTCTGCTTCCTTGCTTGGATTTCAGAAACTCGGAGACCAAGCCAACATTTCGTCTAGCTTTCGACAACGTTTGTTTGTTTTTTTGTTCGTCAATAAATTGGTTAACGGATTTCTGCAAAGCGGGAAAGCAAAGGATTTCTCCTTCAGCCATTATTAAGCTTCTTCTCGCAATTTTCTTGAGATATTATCCAAACCAAAAATCTGAACGTTTTAACTTTTTGACAAAGGTGCCAGAATAAGACCTTTAAGGTGACTCGACCCAGTTTTTTTTTGGGGGGGGGGTACTATCCTACTTTGAAGCTCTCTGGTATCCCCACCTTTACTTTTATCGTAAGTCTAACACATAGAATGGATAACATATACATCAATCTACAATATAACATAAAATGTTTGGCGATCAGAGTAAATGTCACGTGGTTATAATGCCACGCCCCTTTGAGGTCTTAGTCGAAAATCTGCTGTTGCAGGCATTTTTTCGTGAAAATCTCTTGGCTACATATAGTGCGCATTATAGTGCCTTGCGCTGAACAGCGTTTCCCCCAAATTGCAAAGACCCAATTCAAGAAATTCAGCGGTTTCCAAATTTACGTCATAATTTATGCGAAAATGATAAGCAAACTTTACACGGATTATATCTAATAAACTATGAGATTCATCCCTTTATTTTGAGCATCCTTATAACAGATGGGTCCTTGCAAGTCAGCAAAACAATTTAGGGCCTTGTAAATACGCGCGATTTCGAGCAAAGCAAACATATAGAAATTATAGTTTTCGCTATTTGTTGACGTTTGTCAGCGTTTAAGAGTCTTTCTCACGAAAAAAGCATTTTCTTAAAAATTCGTAGTTTTTTTTCCTTCAAATTTTTTCAGGGCCACAATTAATTAACTAACTACCCGGACTCTGAATTTCATGGTCATTGAAAAACTGTGACATTATCTTCTATAAGCCCAAACTTGAGTAAACATTGAAGATTTTTAGCGTTTTGGCTGAGTTTGTGCTTTGGGAGTTGTCTATTGTTTCTAGTCTTTCATTATACAGCATTCTTGTTCAGCACGCGTGCAATGACCACGCTTGGCTGACTTCCGATCGCCAAAAATTTTATGTTATATTGTAGATTGATGTATATGTTATCCATTCTATGTGTTAGACTTACGATAAAAGTAAAGGTGGGGATACCAGAGAGCTTCAAAGTAGGATGGTACCCCCCCAAAAAAACTGGGTCGAGTCACCTTAATGAAAACACAAAGCTACCGAAAACAAAGTTGCTTTTGGGGGGTGTGCTGTGATTGGTCGAAACGTTCTACTCACACGTGGAAAGGCCGTTTCGTTTTTCTGATTGGTTGAATAAAGGCGCGAACCATGTTTCACTCAGGTTGACTCAAACAGAATCACTCAGTATGTATGAAATAATTATCATTTCGCCCCAGCGACTCGGAAAGTAAATACGTTGCTACGTAATATATAGATTTAGCTAGGGCTAAACGCGAAGCTCTCCATAATATTTATAGTTTGTTCAAACAAAATATAAAATCGTGTAATGCTAAGCGGCGGTAAACGCTGAAAAACATTAATAAGTCTAATTAGCAAAAAAGCAACTTTAATTTGCACGTGCAGCACTCTTGTTTTGTACATTTCTCTCCCATGTTTTGTACGACTTCAACGTGAAACTTCCAGAAACTTCTTAGTTACACGTTTTATGGTGAAAATGTTGTACTTGTTCTTGTCACTCCTTTTCACTGCCGCTCATTTTCACCTTGCATTGGTGGCCGCTAGCATTTGTCATTTTGTCAACGCCGCTACAAAATTTCCATGTTGTTCTTCCAACAAAAAATGTCTCCTTTGTTTTTTATCTCTCTGCTCTAAATCTCTGTCGCCCTTTTCCTCGTTGAGCTTCGCTGGCCTGTCGCACCACTTTCTTTTTTTCTCTGTCTTTCTCTTGCTCTATATTCCAAATTTGTGGACATGACAGTTTAACTAAGCTTAATACTTTAGACAACACGGATACAGAAACAATTTCCGCTTTCCGTTTTCGTCTTTGTTGACACTTTTGTTGTCTCTGCTTTACAAGACGCAGGTGGCTATGCGAATTCCTACCAAAATAACCTTGAGCTGCATTTGGGTTGCCATACCTGTTGATTGAGTTATTTTACATTGGTATGCCTGAGTTGCGGACGGACGGTCTCTCGGGCGGGCGGGCGGTCGGTGTACGGTCACGTGATTACCAAATTTTCTCGGATGGGTTGATTACTTCATTTTCTTACCCATGGTGCTCCGCTGGCGCTCTTCGCGCGCGAGAGCTCCGCTATAACTGCCTCTCAAATGGCCAAACAACTGGTCACGTTACGCATTAAAATGCACCGGTCTAGAGTCAGCGATGGCTTTGACCATTTCACCAGAGTATGCCCTGCAAACTTTCCATATTTTTTGTCCATGAACTCACTCCGAAACTTGTTTGCTGCCCTGGCAAAAAAGTTTAGAACATTTATTTTTGTTTTGTTTTGGTTTGTTTTGTTTTGTTTTTTTTTTTTCAATTACTTTCTTTAATTGTATTGTTTTTTTTTTCTTTCTTTTCTTTTTTTTTTCCCTTAAGAGACGTTCATGCCTGCAAAATAAGTTTTTTATGGACGCTTTCTTGCATGTTGATGAAATACGAGTGCAGTGACCATGAAAATAAAATCGCTTAAATCGTACTTTGGAATCATGCCCCTCTTATATCGTTTCGATTTTTGGTAAAGTTAACCCTTGCTTGGGAGCTGGAGTTTAATTGCCAAATTAGCTTATTAGAAGTCGGCTTCCTGTACGGGGAAAGACTTCACAAGACCAAGTGTCTATAGCTGCTTTTGTGCAACGAGTTGCAACTGCGTTATTTTTCCAATTAAGGTACATCTGCATATTATAAAGCAGGGGCGGATCTAGGGGGAGGGTGCAGGGTGTGCGCACCCCCCCCCCCACCCCTGAGATGACCTGCGGTTTTCTATTACAACTGGTATTCTGCAAAAAAACAAAAACTATGTGGTTTATTGGTGTTGAAGTAGAGCAAGAGACGAGTGCACCCCCTCCTAAAAAAAATCCTGGATCCGCCCCTGTAAAGTTCCTGTTAGGTTAAACTTGAAGCAAATAAAATCATTTCCGAAAAAAGTATATCGCAGTTTTGCCCAAAATAATTTAACCATTGATTATAAATAAGAAGTAAATTTGTTTATTATCTCAGTTTAAACGATCATAACTATGATTCCAAAATGGTCATAAGGGGACACAAAAACTAAAAAGTTGAGTAACAACTAAAAGATAGGAACAATTTTAATATTACGTTAATCTTGCTTCAAGAGGATTCGAACCAGGACCCTCCGAATATGTTAGAACTGAACATGAGCCTTTCTAGCCACTGGACCACTTCGGTAAACGTTGACACATTAAGTTTAAAAGAGGTATATATTCCTTCTCTATGGTGATTGAAAGTTTTCAAGGATGTTTATTTTCGGTCTCCGTTTAGAATTAAATCTTTAACTGATCAAAGCCAGACGTTAAGCTTACAATAAAGCCATTAATACCCTTTCAGGCTCGTTCCATGCCGGGGAACGTGAAAGAAGTTTATGAACTATCGATCTCGCGGCTAACCGACTGAACAGTATGACCGTACGATTCTCTCCCTGCTCGTAAGGTGTCCTTTCATCGGTCGGAGAAAACATTAACACAACATTGTTTATCATTATTTCCGTTGTTTCAGGTTAGGATAGCAAACCATTTGGCTTTTAACGTTAGAAGAACTGCTACATGATCTCTCTCCCCAGAATGAAGAAAAACAATATGGCCACCAAATACATCCTTTTAGCTGTGAAAGTTCTCCTTATTAACAAATGTTGAAGATTTATTTCGGCAAACAAACAGTTAAGTTGAAAAAGGATTTTACGAAAGTCTCATAAGTAGGTCTCCTTTTCGATTTTAATTTACTTGGTCGATTTACGCAACTTTTAAACTTCTGGTTCAGCTTTCGTTTGCTTCTGCTTTGAAACTGGAATAATAATTACTCAGGGGTAATACAGTGTAAATATTTGTAGAGAAAAACAACAAAAACTTGCAGATTTATGGCGAAAAATGTACTTTAAAAACGAACTAAAATATTCAGAACTCTCTGATCACGTGACTGATGACGTCATGTCCTTCTTTCGGTTATGAAAAAAATTTTCAGGTAGAACATTACTTTCCTGCAAATTTTCTCTGCCGTGTGATGAACCGTCAACACTCTACAGCCCTCGGCCTAGTTTCCCGACTTTTTCGCTCATGTTCATAGCCTCCTTAAATTTTAAATGCTCCACACAACCAAAACCTCAAATATGCCATTTTATTTTAGCCCAATGAAATTTAATTATCTTCTTATGTCACATCTAGGGTGATGACGCCATTAGTCACGTGACCATTGCTGAATTAGGGTTTTTTGTTGCTGTGACTGAGACGTCATCACCTTAGATGTGACATGAGAAGATAATTTGTAGCAAATGTTATCCTGTTGTGGTCTGACATTCTTCTACGTATAAAATTGCCAAAGTTATAAAGCATTAATAAATTGCCTCAAAGGATTCTGGGATAGTTTTTATGATAATTATAATTTTAATTATTGTGATTATTATTATTATTATTATTATTATTATTATTATTATTATTATTAACAACAACAATGCAATGCGTAAGAAAGAAAAATATCTGAACTTGATCAACGAAATGAGTAGAAATTACAGATGTGTGAGATTTATAAATCTCTCCATTAGTTCCCTTGGCGTTTTCTCCAATGAATGCTCCACGTTCTTAGACATGATGAATGACATTGGCTTTGACAAAAAGCAGCAACGTTATATAATCAAGAAAAAGATAAATATAGCCATTAGAGCAACATATTACATCTTTTGTTGTAGAAATAGGAACTGAGATAGCCCAGACTTAATGCAATTTTGATTTTTTTTTTTGTTTTGTGTTGTTTTTGTTTTTAATTTTGTTTTTGTTTTTGTTTTGTTTTGTTTTTCTTTTTAATAATCCAATCTCAAGCAGCATTTGTAAATTGCCTATACGTAGCGAGATTTATAATTGTACATTCAAAAACACAAATAAAGTTTCCATTATCGTTATATTCTTATTATTACTATTATTATTATTTAATGCGTCTGGATGCAACACCAAAGAATATTGTTTGTTATGATTACGAACTCAGACTGACTAATTGCCAGAGGTAATAAATAAGTTACTAAATTTCAAAATTTTAATATAACAGACACTCAGATAGGTTCCTGTGTATGTGCTTTTCAGTTTATATCCATCATTAGAGGAGAGAATTGAGAAATATTACTTCTGCCAATGAATTTTAAAGTTTAAAGTCCTAATAACGTCACATATGACGTTGCGTTAATCAAACTATACCTAGATGTGATAAATTATTAGTACTTACTGTTAGAATCAGGAACGGTTTAAAAGTTACATTAAAGACAAACCTCCGCAACCGCCTTCCGCGATCTCAAGAAGTTGATCCTGAAAAAAATACAGATGTAAATAGAGCCAAAAAGACACCTCATAACTGGTCCATGGCCAGGGTCTTTTCTCTTTGGTTTGCGAGGAACTGGAGTGAGAGAGACGTCAAGTCGTTTCATTTCTGGTCGTGTGTCGTCCATAAATCTTTCTTTAGCTCTCCAACGGAGATGGGGGAAATGGAGAACCAAAGTGAGCTATGACAGACTACCGGCGCCTTTCGTGCTAAGCTGCAAGGGGAGACTAAGGGTAATTGACTTTTTGTCCCTCTAAGGCATGTTCACGTTCTTTACTTTTTCAATGTTTGCAGGCAAAACAAACATCATCAATCTTCAATAAAAATGGCGCAAATAGGAGTAGCATTTTCTGGTGGAGGAATTCGGTCAGCTGCTTTCTGTTCAGGAGCCTTACGGAGACTTCTTCAAAAGAACGTTAACATAGACTTTCTGAGCTGCGTTTCTGGAGGCGGTTACACAGGATCGGCTTACGTTGATTGGAAATACAGACATGATAAAAAGGATAACAAGAAATGGCATCAGGATTTTTTCAACCACATGAGGCAAGAAGCAGGGTTAATCTGTCATTGTCAAAGGCCATGTAAAGCGGTCCTGGAGTCTATGGCCTTAATCGCTGTTCTACTCTTTGTGTCTGTTATTGTACCTGTGCTTCTCTGGGCTTCGATAGCGTTTCCTTTGGCTTATGTTATAGACTTCCTATTTGGCAGCATTCTCAGAGGTGCTGATCAGTCGTGTTCCCAACAAATTCAAAACAACCCAAACATAACCATCAAACAGTGCAGGGAAGAGCAAAGGTCGCCAGACGCGATTTTTGATCGATATGTCTTGTTCATGACACCCGTTTTGGTTGCCTTTCTGTCGCATGTTCTTACCGGTTGTATTCCAAGGGCAAAAAAGCTTTTTCAGTTTTTTACTTATTTTTGCGTTATCTTCTTCGCACTTGTCTTTTTCCTTGGTTCATAAATGATTTTCTTCATGTTCTTTCAATTTGGATGAAAATTTTGGTCCTTGTTCCTCTGTTTTTCGTTTGGATTTCTTTTCCCCTTAACCGCACAATTGCCACACTTATGATTGGCATATACATTATTTCATTTGTTGTTTTCTGGCGAGTCTACGAGGAGAGCGCTTTGGGTTTTGTATTTGACGAGAAAGAATTCGATTTGCTGCTGGGATCATCAATACTTTTGCATTGGATTGGTCCTCCGATGGTTACCATTCAACAACGCCTAGGACACGTCTATGTAAGGTACGATTTTCAAAAGACATTATTAACGTTTTCTATAGGAACTGTTAACCCAGTCTTAAAACAAGTGTTAGAAAAAATACTGCGTTTTTGTGGTGTTATTGAGAAAGGCAAGGAGCAGGATTGCAAATTCTAAGTGTCCCGCGTTTGATCAAGCCGTTATGAGATCTTATAAACGGCATTAACCAATCATTGATGCAATGTTGAGTTAGTCGCTATGAAATTGGAAAGAATTACAGTAACCTTCTCCCAATTGGTCGCCAGCTCTATATTACACAGACACCTTCCTAAAATTACCACTTAAAATTATCCACTGCGATTCTTCAGTCATTTTGTTTGACTCTCCATAATGCAAACACCGATATGTATCGAAGACGGACACTCCGGTCTCAACTATCCAAGTTGACAAAGCGCCCACAGTAAGTTGTCTTCGCACTTAAAATCTTGGGTTAGCATGGGGAGGAGGGGTTATGATTGGGTAACTGTTCATCCTGGCGCGTAATCCGCCGAAATTCACCCCGTAAGGGTGAAGACCTAGTCCGTCACCTAGGACCCCATGCCGTGCTGTTTATAGAATCCAACCATAAAAAAATATAAATTTGAGTGGAATTTGTTTTTGCAATTTTTTGTTTCTGTTACTGAATCGTTAAGGGAGTTTTGATTTAATTTTCGCGATACACATTCTTTTCATGGTAGGTGGATTATCCAGAAGGCATTTTTCTATCCAAAGACAGTAGGCAAGTGTGGATGCGAGGGAATCAGTTGGCGAAACCTTTTCCTTTACTGTCCAACCTGCTGCCAGCCAAATGGTAAACTAGGAAACATAAGGCCCAACCAGGCTTTGACGTTAGATGATTTAGATGAGTTTACACCGACGTACATAGGGTGCACTACGGGTAACCAATGGAAACGAAGCCCTTCTCCTAGAGAGGCTCACTACGAAGTCCTTACCATGAGTTCGCAAAGTATTGAGCGTCTTGACCGCCGTCAGAGCGAGGGGGAACTACAAGGAAAACTGATGCCTGTCGATGTGTATCTATCTGATGTGGTAGCTACATCTGCGTCGGCGCTCAACTATCACATGGGAAGTATGCAGGGCGATGAGGAACCTTTCAAAGACTTAAAAGTACTACTTGGGTTGTCAACTGGCTCATCAATCGTCTCTGATGAAAGACACGAGAGAAAGAGGCCCTTCTGCGTTCAGGTAAGGATTTTCATTCAATAGGATATATACATTGCATTCTACTTTTTTTCTTTCAACGAGGACAAGAGTAGATTATCCACCAGAAAAGTTGATGTGATGTGGGTACTAGGCCAAGGACGCGTGGGGAGCGGGAGGGGGAGTTTCTTGGGGATTGGGGCCCCCTCAAAGTTATGACCGCCAATTACCTAGCGACGTTTCCTCCATTTGTTTTCTGGAACATTCGTAACTCGTCGCAGCCTGTACGTCAACGTTAACGTTTCGCTTTCAACCCAGGTTTGACAGCCAGTTGGGCGAACTTTCTATTTGTGTCTAAATCAATTAAATCAGTACTTAACTCAGCATTATTTCATCAAACGTATTGTAATAACAGTCAGTGTGATCCAGGCTCTAGGCTAAAAAACAAATGAAATCATCGATCGCGATAAAGGCGCTGCTATTTCAAGGATTATGATTGTCAGCGGACACGTTCCTATCGTTTTATAACCTAATCAAATTTAGAGAAGTAATGGTTAGCCGCATAAAGGTTTGGCCAATAAACTGAAAAATATGACTTCTAAATGGCGCAACTTTAGGTCTTTATGTTGAAAAAATGATGTTAACTTGATGCTGTGAAAATTTGTGGGCCCTATCATTTGCGAAGATGAGGGAAAGATTGGGGAAGCTCCGTTACTACCCCGGACCCAGGAGCGCTAAAAAAAGCCCAGTCTCAATAGGTTTGAGACAGACGTTTTAGCTTCTTAGACTCTCAGGTTATTATTAGTTATTCGCCCGTCGCACCAAAAAGATTAACTTAACGCGTTAGGGCACAGTAAAATTTTGGGCAACTCCTTACGAAATGAAAGTGGGTTCGGTAAGTGCATGCACCATATTGACTTTGGGCCACATGTGAACCCAAAGAAAATCAGGCTTATTCAGATCCTCAATTCCAAGATTCGTCTACCACAACAATTTCAACATGTAAGTACATGAGTGATAACATGTTATTTTCACATATGAAGATATCAAGTTTTCACGCGAAAGCTCACTTGGTATTTCATTGGTGTTTATATTATAAACGATAATAACGACTCCTAGTTCATCCAAGAAAACGTCTAGAAAAGTATAATTATGATTATCAATCAACCCTTCACTGGGAATCTTGCGCTCACTGATGTTTTTTTTTTCTTTCTTTTAGATTCTGCCGTTCTTGATGGAGACGCTCCGTGGAGTTCCTTTGATAGTTTTGTTTGCAGCTTATCTTCGTACTCGCAATGGAACGTACATAATAGCTGGATTTCTCGTAATATTACTCTACGATCGTTTTGTCATTGATAGCACTTGTACCCACAGGGAATAAGCATCGCGGAAGACTGGAGAGAATCGCCAGGTAAGTATGATGCTTAATTATGAGGAAGAAACTTGTGTCAAATAGAGTATAATCTACTGGGTATAAACAAGCTGTTTACGTCGTTTAACTATAGTCACTACATTTAAAAGATTTTCATATAGGTCCCCTGAGCGCCAATAGCTTAGTTTACGTTTTGGGCGAGTCTCAGAACTCTGACAGAATCGAATAGCCCTGAAAAATTATCTCCTGTGTTTTATTTGACAATTCGAGTAATGAACCAAATAAAAACAAATTTATATTCAAAATGAATGAACTAATAGATACCCTTACAACATAACAGTTTTACAATCATTTTTTTTTTTTTTGCGATGATCATTACTCGATCTTCATCCTTCCTGGGTATTACGTTACGAAGCAATTTAATGGCTGCAAAATCATGGCTTGCCACCAAGCCCGGTACACCGGTATCGCTGAGGTTAGGGTACCCTAGCTAGGGTTCCAGTCCCAGTTTTCAGGCTTTCTATTTGCAACCGCTTTTTGAATTAAGACACAACTTTTCCGCAATGATCTCCTTTGCATTTGTTAGATGGTTTACTATCAACATCCCTGTTGTCACTTACGTGCGCAACGCGCTGCAAGTTACCAACCAAGGTCCCAATCCTCCAGCGGTTCTATATCTGAGTGATGGAGGCCATATTGAAAACCTGGGAATTCTGCCTTTGTTAAAGAAGAGGCTGCAGAAAATTGTGTCCATAGATGGAGGACAGACGATCCTAGACGAAGATTATGGAAGCATTCTTTTGGAAGCTTTAAATATGGCGAGGAAGAAGTTGGACTGCTCTTTTTCAGGAATGGATGGGCGAGATATTGCTGAAGATATTCGAGAGAAGTTTGTTGAGAGAATGCCTGGATCACAGCCATCAAGTAACAGGTGTGTATCAAAACTGTCAGAAATGGGTATGAAAAGAATGTGAAATGATGCTCGAACAACGAACCTGCTAGCTGCACATGCATTGAATGATTTCCTACCCCAGTAAAATGAGTTGCTTAATTCGTCAGTTGTGATCAATTAAGAGGCATTTTTGTCCGCCTCAATTTTTTTTCCATACGCATAAATAAATGAAAGAGTTTCTTCAAATCTCTGGCACATGGGTTTTCGTCGGGGTAGAAGTAAAACCTGGAATGGTTTCGGTTGTATTAAAAGATCCCACTCGACATGGAACTGATTAAAAATAATAAATAACCTTACATCATATCTCGAACCGTAAGCTCAATTTGGCTTCGATATTACATTATCTTGTACCGCACAAGAGACGTCACTTCCGCTTTTTTGTCTAAAACGTTATGTGAATAACACAAGCTTTTATTTGCTTGTATCAAATTCTAAATACCCCTGCGTTTAACCACGATCTCAACGGCATATTCTGTTCAACGTATAATTGAGTGAAGCCTACTGTAAACATTCCATGCCATGTCATACAAAATGGATATGTTGATCCATTCTGAAACAAAGGCCGTTCCCTAAATAAAACAAAAGTTAATTCCATACAATAAGATGGAAAAAAATTGGCATCAAAGCCAGTCTTGTCTGCAGAATCATCCATTCCTCTGCGAGAGGGATGGTTTTCACACGTCATATAATGCCCCTTGTTTGGAACTAACACCTTTTTGTATTCCTAAATTTGCCAGATTCAAGGTACAATACTACCAGAAAAATATTAACAGTGAAGGAAAAACCAAGGTCGGGGAAGGTGAAATTCTGTACATTGTTCCCAGACATCCTAGTAAAGCTGTGAAAACTAAAGAGTATGTGACGTGGGAGAACGCATTGCAAGACATAAGTGTTGAACTACCTGCAGATCAGTGGGGAAACGGGCCCGAATTAAAGGCTGAAGAAGCCGACCGATTAACATTTTGTTGCTGCGAATGCTGCCATGGAAATGCATGCCATGGTTTCTCTGAAGCGATGTGCGAGGCCTTTCCACAGCACTCAACAAATAATCAGTTCTTTACTCCAAGTATGTTTTCAGCGTATCATAGGGAAGGTTACCGTGCAAGTATGGAAGCTAAAGTAGAGGAGTTTCTGAATGAAGAATCCAACTCTTCCCCCTCAGCAGCATTCATGGTCTAATTATTGTTTTCACTATTTAATGGCAGTGATATATGTAATTATGTAACATTTCAGTAGCGGGCGAATTTGAAAACGGCATATGTACCGTTTGACCTGATGGGAAGAACAACTTAGATTTAACAGTTTCAAATTGTCTATTTTTGAACTTCTCGTTTGCTAAACCGGCCTTAGTAAGTAACAAGCACCAATTTATTTAATTCAATAACTCCTCATCTTCTGACTCCAACGTTTAAGTGCATAGTTCCTCAAGGCTTGATATTGGGGTTTTTCCTTTTTTTATATCTTAGTTAATATTGCCCTTAACTTGTGTTTCAGTATCGGGCATCTAGTTATGCAAAAAACCTGAATCGTGTTGTTATGCTTCTGAATAAATATATTGATTTCGTATTATATCTAAAAGCAATGGTGCGCTTACTGGTCAAGTATTAAGAGATTTAAAAATATAGAGGTTCGCTGATATTTTCTTTGACTCACTGAAGACAAAAAGACAAAAAGAGCTCTGGACTACTTGAGAATGCCTAAACTAAAAGAAATGTTCACAAAAGTTGCCATCGTACATGTATGTTGTCGCTACGAGAGACTCGCTGTTCTGCAAAATTTTTTCGCCATGATTCTGCTTTGAGCAAGAAAAGAAGTTTAAAAACCATTCGAAGAAACTGTACAAGTAACAAAAAGAAACAAAAAGAAGCAGAGACGAAAAGTAGCGTTTGGGAATTTAAAATGCCGGCCTAAACTAGCACAAATCGTCGAACAGTCAAGCGGTAAGAGGCAGGTATGTGTATTGTTTTTTTTTTCTTTTCTGATCATTGCGCAGGTACTGTTTACCGCTACATGCCCACTTTACACGCGTGAATAACCCTGTCAATCAAATCCTTAAATCTTTCTTCCTGATTCTCATTTGTAAAACAGTTGTTCCATTCGATATCAGTAAATTGTGGTCGTAAAAATATTTTCTGCCACTTTTCACCTCTGTTTCAAAGAATTATTGTTAACTTGTGGTATTTCTACTTAAGTATACTGTAGAGACCTAGTAGTAAAGGTTAATGAGATGAAAGTGGGTAAGAGGCCGGTAGAAACTTTATTCTACCCCAGGAGGTAACTTAGCTGTTAAATATTGTAACTGCGGTCAGCTATCCTTGACAGATTCCTATTTCCTTGCAACCGATGTCATTAAAAAATCAGTACCTGCGCAAGGATGCGTAGGCTGTCATCGTATAAGCAAACTGAGCCTATTTTTGGTCAACAGCAGGGACCGCGAAGACCATTTTAAAGTGGTCGGGCTATAACCTCTGCCCAATACAAGGAAACATTCAGGTTAGTGTTTCGCCATTTATCTTGCATTTGCGCGCCATCTTATTTACCAAATCAACAAATATAACATATACGTCCTGACGTGTTATACTATCCAATAGAGCCAATATGATACATAAACCTTCCTAAAGTTGCTACTTTTTGAAGGTTCCTGCAGTGCCGAAGTTTCTCTTGCGGTTCTCATTGCGCGGGAAACAAACTCCCATGTAGCTATAGAGATACTGTCTGCTCTCCGCTTGTGACCATTCAACACTGCTAGGTCACCCATCCTGGATGAAAACCACGTCTTCAGACGCCGTGCACTGAGATGAGAATGAACGCTCGCCAGCAGCGCTGGTTGCATGATTTACAGCAGGCAGCTTACAGATAGTTTGGATTTCCTGAATTAGCTTCTTTTCTAGTTCTGGAAAGTTTGACATCGCCAAAAGGATTCGTCAAAACATGATATCTTCTCCGTTAACATAACTTCCAAACTACTTAGTTGCATGCCTAGTTAGCGCCCCCGTATCAACATCTTCGCTGTATGAGGCTTCAAGAAACTTGAACTCTGCCTGATAGTCATCACCATTTCGCAGCTTTAACCAAAAGGGTCTCCATCTGAGCGTAGGAGCTGAAGCTTTCCTGATTAAAGCGCTGATCGATAGCACTGACGATAAGATCAAAAGCCTCATAACAGACACTTCTAAATCGATCCTTGGCAGTTCAATTGGGGGTAGCTTGGTGTACCAGCGCCAACCTCCGGTCTGGCCGAAGTGCATCGCTTTCTTGGAAGCGTTGGTTCACCAAGCAGGCCTTCACTCTTGCGGGAAACATTAGCATAGAAATGGTCGAAGCTCTGATCGGTAGTGGATATTTTTGTGAGCGTCTCCTTTCTTAGATTTGGCAGGCGCTGTCCACTCAAAGCAGCCACCTTAGTACCCTGAAGATCTTTAGATAGATTATCGGTGTGGGAATAAAGCCGCTCTCCAAGACGCAAACTAAAGAAAAAGTCAAATCGTTCCATTCAGGCCTTACATGCTATTATCCTTGCCTGGATATCGGGTTGTAATCGTTCGGACAAGAAAACATTCGACTCTTCCATAAGAACTGTATAGTTCTCAAGAATTCGTCGAAAAAAACTGGCTCTAACCGTCCACTTTTTAGGGCAAAGTCCAAACATTTTCGCGACTATTTTCCATGTCAACTGGAGCCCTAGATAATAAATCCCAGGAAAAAGGTGGTAGGCTATAAGCCCCTCCCCCTCCCCGGTCCCTGAACAGATGTGTGTTATGAGTCTTTCAGTTGCTTTCAATCAATAGTTTATATTCGGCGTTAGGCGCCCCTGATTCCTGATTAAATTGTACCCCCAAAAACAATGTACCTTGGTGTGACCCGTTTGCTTATATGGCTGGAACCTGTAACCATTGTTACTTTATTGCAGGGTATAGCTCTGGGTCCGGTTGCATAAAACCTGCACTTAAGTGCTCACTTAAGTAGGTCACTTACGAATCCGTTATGGGTACACTTACGGGTGTTGCATGGAACACACTTAGCACTCTCGTAAGTTTCTGTTTTACGTGGTAACTTACGGGCTCACTTAAGGACAAACGTAACCTTGATATAGTACTTTATTAATGATTCACTCTTTTTTTTTTAAGCTAGCCATTGGTGAGTGTAAAGAAAGTTAAAGGTCGTTTCGAACACTTTTAAGCCTCTCAAAAAATGAAATTTGCATGCAAACGTTATTTTTCTTCAATATCTACTGAAAATGATAGTTCTTCTTCTTTTTCACAAAAATGTACATCAGAGGTTAACAAAGCGCATTAGAACGAATTACGCGAAGAAAAATACTTTTTTCATTTCTCAGTAAAAGATCTCGTTAAATTTAGTAAAAACAGTAACGATACGGGACCTACATAGGTCCCGTAAATTTACGTGCTATTTTTCCCGTAAAAAAAGTTTTATGCAACACCCGCAATTTCTGTTGCATAAACGACACTTAAGTGAACACTTACGAAAATCGTAAGTGCAACCACTTAAGTGAATTCCCTAAGTGGACCACTTAAGTGATTTCATGCAACTGACTTAAGTTACGAGTGCACGTACGTGTACCCGTAGTTGTTACGGGCGTTTTATGCAACCGGGCCCTGGGCCGGGTGGTTCAAACCTGAATTAAGATAACTCAAGGTTAAGGCGAAATTTGAGCACTTAAAAAGCAACTTTTTAAAAAATATATAATTTGGTTATTGGATGCATGTTCTAAAAATAATACAGAAATTTATCCTAGACAGCGCTTTTAAACTAAAAGAAAAAGAAATCCGGATTAAAATTTCACCCTGGATTTGCGCTTATCGGCCTTAGGAACAGTTAACTGAGCCCTGAACCCAGTGATCTGCGATATAATAACCTTCTGTTGGAAAAACCCGTGACTTGTGTGACAGCTCCAAAGGCCACCTGAAGCAATAGGCCACTTCCAAGTTCCCTCGGGCTTCTGTATCAAAGCGAGGTTAAGTGCTCAACCTTTGACATGCAAATGATTTTTCATTCTCATGCAAATAAAACTAACTTTCACAAGAAAGGTTGTGTACTTGGCCTCATTTTGAAGTGGCCTATTGGCTGTGGTCTTGATATAAGGGTATCCAGGTTCCAAAACGGCCAGTTGCACCCTGGAAAAGAAGCCTCGCATTCTCAGGACCAGTGCACTATAGACAGTTTGGAGGAAGCCGTTATTGCGGAATTCGGGATGTAGCCACCTCCATCCCCAGTAGATGCCCGCAAGTTGGCACCTCTGAGAGAGGAAAACCTTTTGGCTGTGAACTATACCTAAACATGGCAATCTATCGATGCTTCTATATCAGCTGTCGCTCCAAGGTGCGGCAAAAATCAGAGATTGCCCGCATTCACTGATTAATGTCTGTATCGGCGTCACAAATCGGATTTTAAAAGTATCAGGTATGAAGGTTGATAACTTTAGCACAAAGTCTACTGTCCTTAATGTAGAGAGGTGACAAAATGTGCAAACTGGAAGAATCGACGATTAAAGCAGTCTAATAAAAAAATAAGTGTCGTTCTCGATGTAAGCATACGCATTGATTCAACTTGACACATGCTTTCAAACGTTGGGTGAACAAGCACCTACATGTTATGACAAGTAATAAAACTAAATTAGACAAAAAGACTTCTACATATTTTAAATTTGTTTCTTCATCTGTATTATTGTACCCAGATGGCCTCTACTGCCTTAAAGCATTTATTTATTTATTTATTTATCTATCTGGCTTTAGTTTAAGGGATCCACTTGCAGATGTCTACAGAGTCTTGCTGTAGATGGCATATGGCTTCTTGCACAAAGTTTGAAACTACTCTTCTAAGTCAACTCCTTATCGTCATCTAAAAAATGACCAAAATTGTCAAGAGTTAGCATGTACTGTTGAAAAAGGTGTCCACATTGTGACCAACAATACGGTTGGTTAAAACCTCATGGTACTTATTGGGGTCAGGAAATTTTTCGAGCGTAGAAAATCAGGAGGCTATAAACTAAGGACATGTGTGGTAGAAGCATTAGAAGGTTCTTTTTTTTTTCAGGAATGTCTTGCCTAATTGAAAACCCCGCATCTATATAAGAATCCAGTGCACTTTAAAGTGGCAAAGTCAGAAGGATATTGCTGTTTAAGGTCAATTCTGTGCTGAAGTCATTACTTTGTGCCTTTACTCATTCCTAAAATGCTTCTGTAGAGTTATGGGGAAAATATCAAACAAATTTCATCAGGGAGTGCTAACCATAATATTTCTTCGGTGATAGTGTAGGCATAGCATTAAAACCTACTTTTTTTTTTAAATTTCACTCCATGCATATCCACCGCTACCATCCGTTGCAATTAACAGAACAATGATGACATAAAAAAAATCAGTGCCTAAATATGGTGTTAAATAGTAAAACTGGTCCATAAATTTTTAAATTCGTTTGTTTTTCTCTTTCTTGCGCACGCGATTTTCCGAGAAACTTCAACGGAAATGGAAATGGTAAAAAACTGTGACTGTTATTGTAAAAAAAACAATCGACAACAATTTTCTATTTGTCTGTACGCTGATCGACCATCGAAATGACGTCAAAATGTTCAAAAATTTGCAGTGAAACCACTCGTCTGCGGCTCGTGGTTCCACTTGAGTTTTGAACATTTTGATGTCATTTCTATGTTCGATAAGAGTACGAGAGTACAGACCATGGAAAATTGTTGTCAGTTTGTTAAGTCGAGACAAAAAAGGCCTGAGCACAGACATCTCCAAAGTAGACTTTGCTGATTCAAACTTCCATATTATCTTGTACTTTAATTGTTAAAGATAATTTGGCGCCGAACTCGGCGAGGGAACCAAATGCAGGCTCCGCCTAATTTATTTAACCTCTTCGTTTTAAGCATGTCTTCTCATCAGATTCAAGACTTACAGTAACAGCATTTGTACGTGTAAGGATAGCCGCAAGAGTGATTCCCTGATGAAATTTCCTCCTCCTCCGGACGGCAACGCCATCGGCAAACTCCATAGATATCACCATGTATACTATGCTCAAATTTGCAACGCGAAGGGTCTAAAATAGGATTTCAAGAAGTAAACGATATGAGTTCAAATTATTGCCCTGGGGAAGAAGGCTATTTTCCAAAGACAGCTAAATGAAATCTAATTTAAACTAAACTTATAAATGACTGAACCAAACTAAACTAAACTAAACCAACTTACAGTGTATTACCCACAGCCTTCAAGTTGAATGTCATTTCCGGTGCTATAATCTAAATCGCGGGACCTAAAAATCTGTTAAAACAGAATTAAGGGTAGGAGGGACACCTGCCTCGCTATTGTCTAAGAGATCGACTATATAGGTTGAGGTTGCGAAAAAAAAAAGCCATTCAAAATTGCAGAACTTATTCTGCAATAATCCCCCCTAAAAGCACTTGAGATTAGAGGCGGCTGCTAGTCTTCACCAAATGCACGTAAGGATTGTTTGATGTTTTGGCTTGTTTTGATACAATCATATGGAGTCGTCCAAGGGTTTTATTCTTTGTCATGACAACGGGATAATGGAGAAATACCATGGGTGGCGGTAACTTGATGGAGTGTTGAAGCGCAGTGGAAAAAGAATCCGTGATAAAAGAGATGGTACTAAAACGGGGAGCGGGAAACGGGCAACGGAAGTCTGAGAACGAGTAGTCCGCGGCAACCTTAGCAAATATCCAAAATGGTGGGAAAAGGCAGAAAAATGGCAGAGAGGCACTGAAAATAACAGAAAGGAGCACACTACGTGCAAAGAGGGGAGAATATGGCTGGTGAGTCTTTACTGTCAACACAAGTGAATTTAATCCTAAACAAGTGCCAATTTTGACCAAAAAAAATAATGTAGATACGAAAATGTGTCGTGTACTCTTGGAACTAAATGTACTAGGGATGGTGTTTTATTCCGACTTATTTTTCTTGTCTCCTAGTTCGGCAAGGAGTATTTTATCTATTAAAGCTAAAGATCGCCAATTCGATAAAAATTTTGCTCTCCTTAACTTTATAGCTAGTTATGCCAGTGTTGCACTGTCCTTCAAACGAAGCTGGATTTTTTTTTTGTTTTGTTCTTTTTTTTTTTTTGAGGAATTTCTTTTTTGTTATCTTTACAAAAATGCAAAGGTAAAGAAACCCCCAAATTCTTGCCACACTTACCTTTAAATTTTTTCTCCCTTTTNTCTTATGTCAGTGGTAAACCTTTCACGTTTCATTGGCATTCAGGTCTGTTTGTTACAATGACAATTTTGTTGTTCTTTCATAGCTCAGATTCTGATTCTGATTTACCTGGAGTCAGGTGGTATGATGATGTACAGGTAGGATGTAAATGTACATCACCCATTATAGTCAGGTCTCTTAGTGCAAAATATAGGCCAGATCGTTACAGACGTGACAAAAGTGTCAAATTTGGCACAGAGCTTCCTTAGCACCTACCGATTAATACTGGAGGGGGTGCCCGTTACAAATGGTCCTAATTACAGATAAAAGGGGGGGTTAACTTTCACCTATAATAGGAGATTGGGTTCCCTGTGGCAAGTACTCTTCTTATTTGATTTGGCTAAAAAACATTTGTTTCAAATTTCTAAGGTTTTAATTTGGTAATGTTTAGTTGTTGTTATACTATTCAAAATAGTTTTACATGTACATAATACTGACTAGTGCCCAGTCCCCACACGGTAAGTGTGGCCATGTTCACTGTGCGGAGGGGGACATGCGGGTTTACGGTATTGCGGTATTGAGCTTATTTTCAAGCGGTATTTTGGTAATTTTGATTTTAATATGCGGTATTGCGGTATCATCTAGCCCTGTGGTATGCAGTTTTTCATCCTATTCGTTTAGGGTATTCGGCAAAAGAAGATCGTTCACGGTATATATTGCAGTACCATTCAATTTCAGTCCCCTGTCTAACACAGGTTAATACAACATGCAGCACGAGCCACAGTAAGCTAAACAGGTTAATAAAAGTCTAAGACTTTAGACTTAATGGTAATAACCGGGCTTTTCAATCGTTCTACCGATCAATTCAAGATCTTCTCATCTTTTCTCCCGATGTCTAAAGTTGATTTCTGATGCATAAATGCTTGAGGTGGCAAACTCGCAAGATGGATACAGCTTTAAGTAAAACATGACCAATCATAAAATTCGATATCGGTATTTCGTCGAGTTTGGACACGGCATTTCGACTAAGACTTGTCAGTGATAATATCATTACTTATCAATGTAAACAGATCACAAAACCAGCTTTCAAAGATGTCATACAATAACATAAAACCCAAATGCATCACATCCTAAACGACAGAATTGTTAAATTTTGACATGCCACATGAACGACCTCATGAACCGTAACTGACAACGCGCCCAATTTGTAATTGTGCAGCTAAGATTAGATTATGATTTGCTTCGTTGGTAACCCTGTCCTTGAGATAATGATTAAAACATTTAAACCTCGTCCTCGGGGGAAAAAGGAGGAGCAAGGGTAGCACAGTTGGTTAGTGAGCAGCCTTCGGTGCGCGAGGTCCCGAGTTCGATCTCCGGTGTCAACACATCCTTATTTCAACTTCTCTCCTTTCTGTGTAGCTTTGACTAGTTTTACATACCCTTACAACGGAGCATTAATGGAGAGAGAGGGTAAAAGAAGCGCACCGTCGACCTCAAGTTTATCAGTTATTTTTACTGTCACGAGTTATTGACATAAGATATGGTCGCTTTACCTTTTTCTACCTTTTTATTAAGCACTAGGAACGAGGTTGTAAAACATGCCTCTCCAGGAATTTTTAACACTCTTTCTTTTTTACACATTTGTATTTAAAAAGAAGTGTATGAGGTCCCTGCATGCCTAGACACCCGTAAGCGGCTCATTCAGTTCAGAGTCCTTCACCAGGGTGTTAATGATAGGTCTATACGATCTTTCAATAAAAGGAAAGTCGTGCGTTACAATTTACAAACAAACTAACTTCAGAAGAGCTGAAATTTACAGGAACAAGGCCTCTTTTAGTTAACCAATGATGCATCATTTATGAAAATGAATGTAATTTGTTTCATGCAATTAGGCGAATACCTTGTGGTTACGAAATCTTACGATCATGAATTCCTCAAGAGCAATTCAGTCAAAAACTTTTCACAAAATAATGCTGTGGAAAATTAAAGAAAATACCAAAAAAAGCAAGGGTCATCAATAATATTATGGCCTGGTCCCTTATAATAATGGAGAGGTCATGATAAAGAAGCCCATCAGCCCCAACTTTGACCACTCAAACAGATTTCTGACAGATTAAATACCGCAAAACTTTGCATTCACTTATGCCTATGTTGCCACACCAGGAGCCTAGAAATCGGCTCGATCCTGGTCACACCTTGCTTTTATTGCTGAATATCATTTTAAAGAGCTTAACGAAATATTTCGTTAGTAGAGGTGTTTTGAACATGATTGAAATTTTGAGATGGTGACAAAAACGAACACAAAAAAAGTCACAAAACGAGACGCATGAAACAACCGCAATCTAATATTCGTGTTACACCGATATAATGGCTCCTTTGGCTGCTATGCTGACATTTTTGAAGATGGAAGTAGTGTCACAGCTAGTCCTGGGTTATGTATACCGTGTATTACCAGTTTTATGGTTCCTGAGACTTAAGGCCTGTTAACATAAAGGTGGGGGACCCCAGGTAGGTGAGGTAACCTGCTTAGGTGGGGTAAAAAAATAACCCTCCTTTTCATGTAATCTTACAACCCCGCCATCCTGGGGTGCAGTTTCTCAAGATTATTGACTGGTCGCTAAGCACGTAAACAAGAAAATGCTGGCAAACCACGTCTACGCTCACTTGCTGCTCTTGCAGCAACCTTCAGTGTTGTGGCTTTCTATTGTTACCTTTTATAATTATGTGAAGCCACACGGCGCCAAAGTGAGTTTTGGCGAATTTGATGTATCACGAATCCGACCCCGACTAGCCTGGGTCACCTCACCTTGAAACGTTGACATGGCAAAATTTGACCTCAGCTGAGAGGGTTCCCTGGTGTGGCAGACCGGGCTACCCACCTTGAAGGGTCACCCCACCTATCATGTAAACGTGATCAAATTAAAATGAGAGATTATATGGACAGGCGGGTTATCCCACCTAAGTGGGTTACCATGCCTACCTGGGGTCCCTCTCCTCCATGTAAACAGGCCCTAAAAGTAATAGCCCGGCTCCCTTTCTACAGTTTCAGCAGTCAAACCATTCACCATTTATCATTTGAGTCAATCTTGAACCACTTGAGTCTCACTTTTACGACTTGATAAGCTGTTATTATTTTTGGACGTGAGTGCTTCAGTGCCAAATGTAGACGCTTCATGATAAACTGTGCTGTTTTTTGAAGCTTGGGCTAACGTGTTTCTTTTTTTCGTTTATGAGACCAGATTCTTTTTTGTTTGTTTTTGCTTTACGTAAAGCTTAGACAAACTTCGGGAATTGTAAATGATATGACTTGTGCCACGGTGCTTGCTTCTCTGTCAAAACATGCACGTGCGTCCAGCAGGTAAAGAGAGACTGAAAGGCATCCAGGCCTATGTTAAGCTGAAAAATTAATTACCTCCCTAGGAAAGAACTATTTTGGGTTCTGTCATTTCGTTATTTGCTCTTCATGAACAGCTGTCATAAATCCCTGATAATATGTGATAAAACAGGCTCTTTGACAATTTCTTTTTTCTGAAATTTTGTGTATGAAACGCTATGCCATACGCTTTCTTTAGCTTAAAGTGACGGGTAATGACAAGTAATACTTGATAAATAAGGCTTAAGCCACACAAAAAGGCCTCCTCTAATTGAAGTACATTAGAAAAGAAGAAGAGAACCCCAGAAGCTGAGTACTTGCAAGTTTTGAAGCAAAGACGAGGCCCTCTTAGAAATGACTTATGAAAATGTGGGCGGACTGTGGACTTGCTTTAAGGGCACAGTAATAATCAACTTAATTATACAATCAATAAGCTAATAATGGATGAGAATGCCAG